TAATCTCTTCAATAATAGCACGGCTTGGGAGAAAGGTGATTGACCTAATATTCAGTCGAGAGAACAGAGCTGGTCAAGCTAAATCTGAATTCATATTTATTTCACGTAATTGAAATATTTCCCCTCCAGTTTACAATATGAACTGCACAAATCTGAGGAGGTAGCATATGTATACCTGAACTGATGCATGTTTCCATTGGAAAGTTCCCTTGGAGAAATAATTGCCTTTTTATTTCTATTTTTTTACCTGGGACAAAATTTCACTTTGGTGGCTGTATCTAGCTCCCTAGATACCAATTTTATGGAGGGAGTTAAAGTGAGCTGATTCTTTTCTGATTAATGGTCCCTTCCCCGCCCCTACCCCCAGGTATTTCCTGCAAAATGACCTTCTCCCTAAACACCAAAAACTTCAATGGTTACAAGTGAGTTGATTCCCCACTAGATACCATGACTATCGAGAGAGAAAATTATCATAAGGGAATATTAGAGTCGACTAGTTGATTTCTTAAAGGAAAGGATTAGATCTCTTGGTATTTTCCTAGAATTTTCATCAGGGGATTGGATGAGGAATGGTTGCTACACTGTACTCAGTCTGTGTGTGGGTTGCTTGTCTGATTCTCACAACAGTGGCTGTTCACTTATCATGGTTAAATAATTAAATTAATGAGAGTGACTGGGTAAAATTCATCCAAGGTAATAAAAACATGGAATCCTCAGAGTTACTGCAGCAGGATAAATATAGCATGACAGGTTCCAGTCAGGACCCTCCTCAAACAGCAATGAATATTCATGAAGTTGAACATGGACAAGCTAAGTGCATTGTGTGGTGAAATATTGATGATATATATGTCAGTATGTCTAGTTTACCTGGTAGTGTATATTAATATTTACCTGAACACAGATCAATTATAGTATACAATGTACCTATATACACCATCAGATGTATGTCAAATTGATCAGCCTCTGTATTGCTGGTATGTAATGCCATACCAACAGTAGTATTTCCAGCAATGTAGTTGTTAGTGATCAGTCAGGGTAAACCTAGACCACTAGGGTAGCTGTATTGGTCAGGGTAAACCTAGACCACTAGGGTAGACCTACCCTGTAGTACCAGACTTTGTCCAGCCTGCCCTGTGGTATCAGACTTTGTCCAGCCTACCCTGTGGTATCAGACTTTGTCTAGCCTACCCTGTAGTACCATACTTTGTCTAGCCTACCCTGTAGTACCATACTTTGTCCAGCCTACCTTGTGGTACCATACTTTGTCCAGCCTACCCTGTAGTACCAGACTTTGTCTAGTCTATCCTGTGGTACCAGACTTTGTCTAGCCTAACCTGTAGTATCATACTTTGTCCAGCCTACCCTGTAGTACCAGACTTTGTCTAGTCTATCCTGTGGTACCAGACTTTGTCCAGCCTACCCTGTAGTACCAGACTTTGTCCAGCCTACCCTGTAGTACCATACTTTGTCCAGCCTACCCTGTGATAGTCCACCCTGTAGTACCAGACTTTGTCCTGCCTACCCTGTGATAGTCTACCCTGTAGTACCATACTTTGTCCTGCCTTCCCTGTAGTAGCAGAATTTGTCTAGCCTACCCTGTAGTACCATACTTTGTCTAGCCTACCCTGTAGTACCATACTTTGTCCAGCCTACCCTGTGGTACCATACTTTGTCTAGCCTACCCTGTAGTACCATACTTTGTCTAGTCTACCCTGTAGCACCATACTTTGTCCTGCCTACCCTGTAGTACCATACTTTGTCCTGCCTACCCTGTGATAGTCCACCCTGTAGTACCAGACTTTGTCCTGCCTACCCTGTAGTATCATACTTTGTCCAGCCTACCCTGTAGTACCAGACTTTGTCCAGCCTACCCTGTAGTACCAGACTTTGTCCTGTCTACCCTGTAGTACCATACTTTGTCCAGCCTACCCTGTAGTACCATACTTTGTCCAGCCTACCCTGTAGTACCAGATTTTGTCCAGCCTACCCTGTAGTACCAGACTTTGTCCAGCCTACCCTGTAGTACCAGACTTTGTCCTGCCTACCCTGTAGTACCATACTTTGTCCAGCCTACCCTGTAGTACCAGACTTTGTCCAGCCTACCCTGTAGTACCAGACTTTGTCCAGCCTACCCTGTAGTACCATACTTTGTCCAGCCTACCCTGTAGTACCAGACTTTGTCCAGCCTACCCTGTAGTACCAGACTTTGTCCTGCCTACCCTGTAGTACCATACTTTGTCCAGCCTACCCTGTAGTACCAGACTTTGTCCAGCCTACCCTGTAGTACCAGACTTTGTCCTGCCTACCCTGTAGTACCATACTTTGTCCAGCCTACCCTGTAGTACCAGACTTTGTCCAGCCTACCCTGTAGTACCATACTTTGTCCAGCCTACCCTGTAGTACCAGATTTTGTCCAGCCTACCCTGTAGTACCAGACTTTGTCCAGCCTACCCTGTGTTACCAGACTTTGTCCTGCCTACCCTGTAGTACCATACTTTGTCCAGCCTACCCTGTGTTACCAGACTTTGTCCAGCCTACCCTGTAGTACCAGACTTTGTCCAGCCTACCCTGTAGTACCAGACTTTGTTCTGCCTACCCTGTGTTACCAGACTTTGTCCAGCCTACCCTGTGGTACCAGACTTTGTCCTGTCTACCCTGTAGTACCAGACTTTGTCCTGCCTACCCTGTAGTACCAGACTTTGTCCAGCCTACCCTGTAGTACCAGATTTTGTCCAGCCTACCCTGTAGTACCAGACTTTGTCCAGCCTACCCTGTAGTACCAGACTTTGTCCTGCCTACCCTGTGGGATATTGTTACACTTCTATCTTAAACAACTGACATTACATCAAAGCTGACATCACATAATATCACGCTACACTGAGCATAAAATTAACATATTGTGTATGTTGATAAAAGGTGAGAGAGAGGTGAAAGGGCTGATATCTCAGGTCACTAGCAATTCTTTTGATGGTTTTATCTATAGGTAATTGTAGCATCCTGTGTTATAGTATCCCATGAAGATCTTAATGTTTGTAAATTACTACCCAAATGTAACATCTGAGGTATTCCAGTATATTCTACAATTCCTGTTCAATAGATTAATCACAGGAGTACTGACATTGACAATCCATTTACCTTTGTCAATACCACAAACTTTCTATTATAGTCCACCTGTACTGTTGTACCGGAGACAATAAAATTTATTTTGACTTTTGTATTGTTTGATTGGCCTATTTTGTCCGGGGAGGTGGTCGTTGGAGGTTTTATCGGTGATGTCTCAATCAAGATTTTATCTTCCCACTTTCATCTTTATGCTTTGCTACTTGTGAGTTTTCTAGAGAATACATGGTCAGTGTCTTTAACCAAAAGCTGTAATTTGGCAAGGGTGAAAGGCAGAAGTAGCAAGCCTTTGGAAAATTTACCCTGTAATATTTACTGAAAATTCAGATTATTAAAAGTTCAACTGTTTTTAGAATTATCCAATCTTTGTTTACGTGACATTGAAATTGACGCTGACTTGTGCCTGATAATGCAAATAACTGCTCTGAATGGAAATATGATACATTTCAATGCATCTAAAAAGTAATTTTATGAATTTTCATAAATAAACTTGTTTGTTACAACAAATATAATCTCTTATTAATACAGGTATATATATTTTGAAATGAAATTAAGCCGAATTGTGCTTGATGATGCATATCAAAATAATTGCTGGAAACAGCAGTATGGCTCTACATTTCAATACAATTGAAAAGTAATTTCATGAGTTTTCATAAATAAACTTGTTTGTTATAACCAAACATAATCACTCATTTGAAAAGTGATCAATATTTTAAAATGAAATATTTAAGTAAATAAGAAAGAAACCTTTTTAAAAATTGATCACATGCTGAAATATAGCTGTTTTCTGTCACTACTGATTACAGCAAAAATGTTTATAGCAAGAGTTTTCCGACAGCACCAGTTTCAGGATGAACTTTCTTCACTGAAATATTTCATCAACAAACCGCTCCACAAAACATATCTGTTAAAAATGGTCTTTGTACCTACTCACAATGAGAAAGCTGTAATGATTTTGAATAAGAATGTTTTATTTCTTCTGTTGTAGAGTAATGCATTTTTGTACTTCTGTTATAAAGTAATGCATTTTTGTACTTCTGTTATAGAGTAATGCATTTTTGTACTTCTGTTATAGAGTAATGCATTTTTGTACTTCTGTTATAGAGTAATGCATTTTTGTACTTCTGTTATAGAGTAATGCATTTTGTACTTCTGTTATAGAGTAATGCATTTTGTACTTCTGTTGTAGAGTAATGCATTTTTGTACTTCTGTTATAAAGTAATGCATTTTTGTACTTCTGTTGTAGAGTAATGCATTTTTGTACTTCTGTTATAAAGTAATGCATTTTGTACTTCTGTTATAGAGTAATGCATTTTTGTACTTCTGTTATAGAGTAATGCATTTTGTACTTCTGTTATAGAGTAATGCATTTTTGTACTTCTGTTATAGAGTAATGCATTTTTATATGCCGCCGGAGGCGATCGTATATTGGCATCATCTTCTTCATATGTCCGTCTGTACATCCATCAATACGTCCATTTCTTATGAATGCAACTCCTCCTAAAATAATCATCAGATTTTCACAAAACTTGCTCAATGTCACTACTACAATGGGTAGATGTGCATGAAGGGGCAATATTTTGGTTCTTTGATTTTTGTAAAATTTATGCCATTTTCAACTTTGTATCTGTAGCTTGTTCTTAGTGGAGCTTTGTGAACGCAATTCCTCCTAAACTAATGATCAGATTTTCATAAAACTTGCTCAATGTCACTAATACAATGGTTCGATGTGCATGAAGGGGCAATTTTACGGTTCATTGATTTTTGTAAGATTGATATATTTTGTGGCAGCGTATATTGTGTCCACGGCACTCTTGTTGTACTTCTGTTTTAGAATAATGCATTTTTGTATTACATGCTATATTTTACTTTGATTTAGAACCTGTCTGATCAGCTGGACCAACGACGAGATGCTGTGGATGGACTGCGGACAAAATCTGGTGATACCCTCAAGCGCGTCAGCCAAGCCGACCGTGAACTGGTGGAGGGACAGATCAAGTAATTTTTCCAGTTGTCAGAATACAGACAAACCCTTGTCTGATTATCAGAACTCCAATCTATGTTGTTATCACTATCACTAAATTGTATTTGTTAATTTCTAAGACGGACCAAAAAATTAGAAAAAAAATTCTACAAAAATCTCTTATTGATATCTGATTGGTCATTATATTGAATGACAACCTCATTGCAAATTGACATTTTCGAGCATTGGGGATTTCAAGCATTGTTAAAAAGTCAAAATTAGATCGAAGGATCATTGTGTAAAATTCGTTATTTTGATATACTTCGATACAGGAATTTCTGTACAACAAAGAACAGTCCTGAGTATTGTCCTTTAATTCTTAATGAGTTAATGAATGTGTATGAAGAAAATATACAGCATTATTCCACAACTACACCAATCTTCTTCGCATTTGTGACAATTGTAGAGATGCCAATACAATGGCTTTTGTTTACAGTGAAAAGAATTAAATTTCCTGTCTGGTATAACATTGTACTCGTCTTGTTTTGGTAGAGAGATTGAGAAACGCCACAGTGATGTACAAGCACGAGCTGCCCGGAGCCAGAGGAAACACAGAATTCTGGGTACAAACCTGGAAGAGATCCAGGGTGAGGTTGATACGTATATGAAATGGCTCAGTGAGAAGGAGGCAGAGCTAACACAGGATACGCCCCTTGGCTATAGCGTCAAGGATGCAGAAGTGATGCTCACAAAACAGAAGGTAAATTATATTGTTTCAAATCATATTTTCATATTTATAGGGATTGAAAGGGGTTATTAAGAAAATATTTGTTCATCACTTACAAATTATCTGTAGGAAAAGTATGCTTTCCCACAGTCAGACTTGTTCCTGCCTCAATCTACAAGACTTAGTCACCTTGTTACCCAATGTGATTATTAGAAAAAGAGCTTCTGCCACCACAGACATCAAAGTGGTAAATGTGGATTTGGTTTTTTTATGATATTATATAATTAAAGACTTAATTTCAATGATTTTTTTTCTTGAGGTCTTATGTCTATTGCTTTTAGCTTGAATTTATTGAAGTTGCTTAGTAAATAGGAGTCACAATCCACTTAAGGTGGAGTTAAGTTGGGGAGAAAAATGTGCCGGTGTGATAGAGTATATGGTCGCCATGTTAGGGCTGGAGCATGTAGTCATGGTGGAGTATGGGGTGGCTTATTTTTTTATTCACTCCATATTGGGTCCTCCATTGGTTAATGTAGAGAAGATATGTGAGAGGGTGACTTGTAGTTTACCTATATATATATATATATAACTTTTTGGGTACAAAGGGCAATGCCTATGACCTTCCACTGACTCTGTTATTGGGGTCAAAGGTCACAATTGGTAAGTCTTCCTACAGTCATCTTCCCACAGGACAGTGCCTTGACTGGCGAATACCTAGGTGTTAAAGCAGTTGATAAAAGTTGTTTTTGGTTTTTTGTACAATGTATCTTTTACATAACATCCAGAGGAATCGTTCTTACTGGTATCAGCCATTAAATAATGTCATCAACATTATCCTGGAAATTGTGTCTTAAGTCTTCATTGTCACTGCAGGAGCTTGTTTCTGAGCTGGAGGCGCGACAACTGACCATAGACAATGTTAGCCATAAGGTCGAGGCCCTGGTTCAGGATCTGCCCCGTAAAGAACGTGAGATGGTAGAGAAATGGGTGACCATGATTAACACAGACCACCAGAGGGTTTATACCCTAGCTGTGGACAAGCAAAAACTGCTTGCAGAAAATGTTGGCCATCGGGAACTGTTTCAGACTAGTCTCAATCGCATCAACATGTGGCTACAGAATAAAGATAGAGATGCTAATAAATTGGAGGCAATCCGTCTACAGAGCTTTGAAGCTGAGAAACAACTGGACAAGTGTAAGGTAAGCTAGCTAAAATTGGTATAGTAACCCTAGCGTATCTATCATCCACATACTTAAAGGAATGATGGTAACCCTGTTACATAATTACTGAGCTGTTGACCTAAATCATACATGGGATTACAGGAATTAGCAGTATATCAATGCTTGATTATTTCAATGCTGGATAAGAAACGTCCTAGAGTTGTAGGAATCATGATATTGTTTGATTGAATACTACAATTGTATGAAGCCTGCAGTCATAGAGTTGTAGAAATGCTGGAGTTTTAAGAATAATAGAGTTTTTAGGAATGCTAGAGTTTAAGGAATGATAGAGTTAAGGAATGATAGAGTTTTTAGGAATGATAGAGTTTTTAGAAATGTTGGAGTTTTTAGGAATGCTGGAGTTTTAAGAATGATAGAGTTTTTAGGAATGATAGAGTTTTTAGAAATGCTGGAGTTTTTAGGAATGCTGGAGTTTTAAGAATGATAGAGTTTTTAGGAATGATAGAGTTTTTAGAAATGATAGAGTTTTTAGAAATGATAGAGTTTTTAGGAATGATAGAGTTTTTAGAAATGATAGAGTTTTTAGGAATGATAGAGTTTTAAGAATGATAGAGTTTTTAGGAATGATAGAGTTTTTAGGAATGATAGAGTTTTAAGAATGATAGAGTTTTTAGGAATGATAGAGTTTTTAGAAATGCTGGAGTTTTTAGGAATGCTGGAGTTTTAAGAATGATAGAGTTTTTAGGAATGATAGAGTTTTTAGAAATGCTGGAGTTTTTAGGAATGCTGGAGTTTTAAGATGATAGAGTTTTTAGGAATGCTGGAGTTTTAAGAATGATAGCGTTTTAGGAATGCTTATAACTTTAAGGAATTCTGAAGTTATATGAATCCTTGGGTGGTAAGGTTCCTGGAGTTGTTGGAGGGCTGTAGGAATCCTATATGTACCTATGTGTTTGACACCTGTCATCAGTGGTAAATAGAGGTCTTCCATTGTATGATTCTCAACACAAACTCTACTACATAATGTTTCTGTGTATCGACTGATTATAAATATCTGTGGTATGACATATCAGCACCACTAATCAGACCGTGACCCCACAAAGCTGATCATTGAAATCCGCCAATAATGAAGTCCTTGTTTATTAGTATACAGACTGTCATCCTGATATTGGCTGAATGGTAGCATGGACGATTTATACACTATACTACCGTTGTATTGTTGCTTTTTTTCAAACATATTTTATCATCAGTATAAGATAAATAGATCTGAGACAAGTTCTAGCAACTTATGAACTCTTCTCCATAAATAAAATCACAAATGATAAATATACTGCACGTGACACATATTACAATGTTATATTGTTATAAACAGGAATTGAAGGAATACTCAATTTTTTTTAATCCTTTAATGAATAAATTTGTGAAGGTAATATTTGTGTAATTTAATGTTGATTAGTTAGTGTTGGACCTCTAAATAAACATTTATATATAAAATGTTTTAGACCTACAAACATTTATATATATAATGTTTTAGACCTACAAACATATATACATTTAATGTTTTAGACCTACAAACATACATATGTTAAATGGTTTAGACCTACAAACATACATATATTTAATGGTTTAGACCTACAAACATACATATATTTAATGGTTTAGACCTACAAACATACATATATTTAATGGTTTAGACCTACAAACATACATATATTTAATGGTTTAGACCTACAAACATATATATATTTAATGGTTTAGACCTACAAACATACATATATTAAATGGTTTAGACCTACAAACATACATATATTTAATGGTTTAGACCTACAAACATACATATATTTAATGGTTTAGACCTACAAACATACATATATTTAATGGTTTAGACCTACAAACATGTTTATATTTAATGGTTTAGACCTACAAACATACATATATTTAATGGTTTAGACCTACAAACATACATATATTTAATGGTTTAGACCTACAAACATACATATATTTAATGTTTTAGACCTATAAACATACATATATTTAATGGTTTAGACCTACAAACATACATATATTTAATGGTTTAGACCTACAAACATGTTTATATTTAATGGTTTAGACCTACAAACATGTTTATATTTAATGGTTTAGACCTACAAACATACATATATTTTATGGTTTAGACCTACAAACATACATATATTTAATGGTTTAGACCTACAAACATACATATATTTAATGGTTTAGACCTACAAACATACATATATTTAATATTTTAGACCTACAAACATACATATATTTAATGGTTTAGACCTACAAACATGTTTATATTTAATGGTTTAGACCTACAAACATACATATATTTAATGGTTTAGACCTACAAACATATATATATTTAATATTTTAGACCTACAAACATACATATATTTAATGTTTTAGACCTACAAACATGTTTATATTTAATGGTTTAGACCTACAAACATACATATATTTAATATTTTAGACCTACAAACATACATATATTTTATGGTTTAGACCTACAAACATACATATGATTAATGTTTTAGACCTACAAACATACATATATTTAATGTTTTAGACCTACAAACATATATATATTTAATGGTTTAGACCTATAAACATACATATATTTAATGTTTTAGACCTACAAACATACATATATTTAATGTTTTAGACCTACAAACATATATATATTTAATGTTTTAGACCTACAAACATGTTTATATTTAATGTTTTAGACCTACAAACATACATATATTTTATGGTTTAGACCTACAAACATATATATATTTAATGTTTTAGATTTATAAAAATACATATGTTAAATGCAAAATAACTGATATAGTTGAATGTCACTTAAGAAAATGTGCAGAAACCTGAAACTAGCTACACTATTTTGCAGAACTGTGAATTTCATTTTAGTAATAATTACCATAACTTTAGTATGCATCTTTGTATCACAAAAAAGATTTGGAAATCTTGCCCTCTCTATTACCTGTATATTGAGGGAATAAGAACCAGCTTGAGACTTATTACATGAACATATGTAAAACACATTTGTGATGATATTCCACTGGACAAATTATACTGTTGATAAACAAAATGATAGTTTCCTTTAGTTAAAATCATAATGATTACAGCAACATGGGTACAGAATAATATTGTCTTGTGATGGCATTTATGGCTATTATGATGTTTTGTAGACGTACAGTAATATGCTTCTATACAAACGATTATGTTCTGAAGTATGATGAGATACAGCTTATTTCGGTATGATACAGGTTCTTTTGTCCGAAGTTCAGGGCTACAAACCTAACATTGAGAGTCTGGCCAGGCAAGCAAAAACTCTAGAGGTTGACTGTCCACCAGAGAGAATTGCCGAACTTCAACATAAACTTACAGGTTAGTAACTAACACCTACGGGTACATTAGACCTGTTTACAGAAAATTTTGGCCTGTTGATCGGGTGCATTAACTGATACATTTGGCCTGTTTACAGGGTATATTAACAGGTACTTGGGCCTGTTTATAGCGTACATTTTCAGGTACAAGGGGCCTTGGAACTTGGGACCTGCTTAAAGGATACAGAGCATATTTTAAAATTTACCTTTTAAGCTGTTTTGCACATAAAACCCTAAATTTAATGGAATTTGAGGCAAATTGTGGAAACCCATTATGAATAATTTTCCTCTACTCCATTGGACTTGATCATATGGACTAAACAATATGAATTTAATACTTATATTTAAATTTGTTTTATTAATAACACCATTCAAAGAGTCAGATACAATTGTTTACCTTGTGTAATTTACATATCATATGAAACAGACATTAACAAAAGCTGCTGACTGACTGCTAAACCCGACCGATCTGTGTGTGACAACAAAAGATAAAAGTTCTGCATTCAATAATTTTATCTACACAAAATATCCATATTTGATATACATTATTTAATACAAATTTTTGTAATGGTATTGATAGACAATGGAATAGATCAGTATATATTTATCTAACTTTAAGGTATAGTACAGATTCATAGGGACTATTTACTGGGTACATGCTATTAATACAGGTACACATGGCCTGTTTACAGGGTTTATTTACAGGTACACAGGGTCTGTTTACAGGGTTTATTTACAGGTACACAGGGTCTGTTTACAGGGTTTATTTACAGGTACACAGGGTCTGTTTACAGGGTTTATTTACAGGTACACAGGGTCTGTTTACAGGGTTTATTTACAGGTACACATGGCATGTTTACACGGATTATTTTCAGGTATACAGGGCCTGTTTACAGGGTTTATTTACAGGTACACAGGACATGTTATCAGGGTTTATTTACAGGTACACATGGCCTGTTTACAGGGTTTATTTACAGGTACACAGGGCATGTTTACAGGGTTTATTTACAGGTACACAGGGCCTGTTTACAGAGTTTATTTATAGATACACAGGGCCTGTTTACAGGGTTTATTTACAAGTACACAGGGCCTGTTTACACGGATTATTTACAGGTACACAGGGTCTGTTTACAGGGTTTATTTACATGTACACAGGACATGTTATCAGGGTTTATTTACAGGTACACAGGGCCTGTTTACAGGGTTTATTTACAGGTACACAGGGCATGTTTACAGGGTTTATTTACAGGTACACAGGGCCTGTTTACAGAGTTTATTTATAGATACACAGGGCCTGTTTACAGGGTTTATTTATAGATACACAGGGCTTGTTTACAGGGTTTATTTACAGGTACACAGGGCCTGTTTACAGGGTTTATTTACAGGTACGCAGGGCCTGTTTACAGGGTTTATTTACAGGTACACAGGGCCTGTTTTCAGGATTTCTACAGTTTATTTATACCACTGAACTTCCTGATCTCTGAATGTGACGTGTATTGAGACTTTAAGATTTTTCTTGAGATTTGTGTATGACATTTTTCATCAGTATTTATTTCCACCACAGCTGTTAATGGTAAGTGACCTGTCCACCTCATAATTAATAATTAATCTAGTGTGTTTATGACCAAACGAACCTCCTCATATTGCCCTATAAACATAAGTATATTCTTTCCAAGAATTTAATACAAGTGTTATATTAACTGAATGATGCTTACCTTCCTCTACAGAATAAAAGTGAAATCAGACTGGTGTGCTTCCCAACCTACCTGGAATATTAATTATACACCCAGCCAGTGGTGCTACCCTATCTAACCAATTTATAAATAAATCACCCATTCATATCCTACATATTCGATATATGATTTTTTCCCCTTATTTATATCTTCTGCACAGATTTTCACAAAAAAATATTGATTTGTAGATTCGGTGTAATCTTGTCTTTTGTACTGATCAGTGGTAACTTATGAAATGCATTTTGCTACAATTTTCAAAAAATATTTGGGATTTTTATTTTTTTGTAATCTTTGTTAAGGTTAAAGTGAAACTTGGAGAGTTCATATAGTGATGATGTGTAATTGTGTTGTTTTTCTGACCCAGCAGCTACCAGGAGGTATACGGTGTTAACTAATTTTGGCTTTTCTCCTAAATAACTGGCTTATTATGAGATAAAGACCAACAAATAATGCATCATCTTTACTTCAATTTATTCATAAATTTTGAGTTGCATGTTTTTTTAAAATTTGATATAATTGCTCTAATTTTACTTCCTTAATAAGGACTACACTTTCTGTGTCTTTTGTTTAGCTGTGAGTAGAGTAATACCAGATAATATCAGTGTGATGTATATAATTGAAATGTCCTCTGTTTTCCTTACCAGGGTGTATTGAATTAATATGAATTAATATCATTGTAGATTAAAAATAGGCAATAGACATAATAGGTTTTAACAGGGAAATAGTAGGTTTTCTTGTTCAGAGTACTGGGATGTAACATGTATTGTTGATGAGAATTGAGCTGTACTTCTGATGTGACAGGTAAACGTTATAATGTTAATTTCATATAGTAATGAGCTAAAACTAAGAAAAAAGAGAAAAAAGGAAAAAGATCCATTTTTTAAAGACTAAATTAAGATCAGATAATGGCGGGTGCCATAAAGCTCTCTCTGGGATCTCCTTATAAAATAATTAAAGAAAGGAATGTTTTGGAGCCTATGTCGTAGAGGAAAATTTTTTTAAACAATAAGGTGGTTTGTTACTGAGAACTAGTTATTATATTATCAATGATAAACCATCTGTTATCCTCGTTTATTCTGTTTGACTTTGCAGATGTGCAGTCTCGGTATGATGATCTTAAGTCCCTTTTATTGGAGTCTCAAGGTCGTTTGAAGGACAGCTTAGCCTCTCGGAAGGTAATGGAGGAAGATGTCCACAAGGTTGAACGATGGTGCAAGGAAACCGAGATGAAATGTGCAACAGAGCCATGTGTAGACTGTGCAATAGAAGTACTGAACGAACAGTACAAGCAATATAAGGTACGGATCAGGAGGGGTCAATAGGGGTCAGAAGGGGTCAGGAGGAGTAAGGAGGGATCTGGAGATGTTAGTAGGGGTCAGAAGGAACCAGAAAGGGTCAGGAGGAGTTAGGAGGGATCAGGAGGAGTCAGTAGGGGTCGGTAAGGGCCAGGAGGGGTCAGGAGGATTTGGAATAGATCAGGAGGAGTCAGGGGTTGTTAGGGGTCAGGAGGGACCAGTAGTGGTCAGGAGCGATCAGGAGGGGTCACTAGGGGTCAGGAGGGCAGTAGGTCATTAGGTTGTGTTGTGGATTGGCTTGGCTAATAAAGATTTCATTATTAATGATCTGGTATAGAAGACTGGAGATTGAACATTGTCAGTAAGCTGAGGTAAGTATGTAACATCAATATTAATTAACTGTAATGGGATCTGGGCGGTGTTTACTACATTTATCAAGTATTAGCTGTGTTGGAAGCTTCCTGGCTAAGCCATCCATCAGAAATCATATTGTCCGTCCCACGAGGTCTCCTACATCTTCCATTGTGTCACTTGCTGATGAATGACAGAAAAGCTTGTTGTAGTTCTCTAAGTATTAATGAACAATAAGCCCATGTCGGGTAGTAAGCCAACCCATTTCTATTTCTGTTCTGGAATCTTACAAACAAATGCTTTATGTCATGGTCCTGTAATAAGCCCACCCTCAGACTGAGTGAGAGATAATGTGTTGGACCATATGTAAGAATAAGTTAATTTTGTTCACTGTTGATTAAGACTTCTATTATGGGGGAACTTTTGTTTTACAGACACTGGACAATACATCCCACATGTTTGAATCTCTAATCAAGGAAATAAATGACCGTGGCCAGACAATGTACCCTTCCCTTTATGAAGCGGACAAATTCAGACTGGACCAGACTCTCAAGACCACTACAGATAGATATGAAAAGTGAGTACACAGGACACCGTCACTACAACTTTATTTTATCTGTGATGTATCCACATACACAGTTAAAAAAGTTATAAATTCAGCTTAAAACAAACTCCTGTCACCTTTCTTCTGTGGTTCATTGTCAGATGCTGACCCACTGTCTTCCTAGGTAGGCCTCCCTTTATATCTTATTGTGTATGCTGTATGTTGAGACTTACAGAAGTCACCTCAGGAGGTTGGGATTGAAAATTGTAGAAATGGAAGGCTGATCTCTCGGGGTTAAGGAGAAAAAGAGGTCAGTTCACCAAATGGCTGAAAAGATACTCTGCGAATATGTGTTGAAATTTAGTCGTGTTTAACAGGAGTATCTTCTGGTGATAGTGGATCTGATTCTCCCGGGAAAGGACTCTGATGTGGGACCAACAAGTGTTGGTTGAATGACCATACCAGCAAACTGTTCCTGATGTCTGGGTATTATGATGTAGGCTGACAATAGAGCCAACACCACTGTTGGCTCAGAATCACACTTTATACCCTGATCCACAGATATCTATTCCCCCTACTTACCATTGTTATACGCCGGCTTGGTCATTGTTTACTGACAATGATATGTCCTGATTTACTAGCATAGCCAAATACTAAAGGAAGTGAATTAAAACAAATGCTAATTGGTGTGTTTTAGGGTTGATTCCATGGTGAAGGGTCGCCTAGCTACCCTGGAAAGTGCTATAGCCACACGAAGTCAAGTCCATGATGAGATTGAGAAGGCACAGGAGATGTTAGTGGCCATACAGGACGACCTGCGTCAGATAAATAAACCTCTCGGTATTACTGTAGATGATGCAGAAGACTCGCTCCGTAGATATGAAGCTGTTGGAGAAAAAATGGCCTCCTACCAACCATCCATAGCCCAGCTAAACCAGGCAGTGGAGCGCCTGAGGAACACAGGACAGAACTCGGAGGCAGATGAGATCCTGCAGCTGACAGCCCAGTATGAACTTCTGGAGGACCAAGTTGAGCAGCAGTGCCGCAAATGTCAACAAGCCATCGCTCTCCGTCAGCAGTATGCTGACCAGAAATCTGCCATAGAGGCCATGGCAACAGAGTACAGACAGGAAGTTAAAGACATTGAGGAACAAAGTCTTCCTCTTCCTGTCAAAGTGGAAAAACTCAAGGTAGGAACAAATGATTTGGTTTTTAAATGTCTGTTTATGGTCCAGCAGAAACAGTAAATAATTCGAAAAAAAAGAGACAAAAATGTGTTTGGCTGGAGTGTAATGAAACCTTTGTGTCTTTATTAGAGACCAGTACTGTTTACATACCAGTTGTTGGCTGTATTTGTTTATTTGACCTTTGAATTACAGGCTGTGTCTGAAAAGGTAACCACAGCTGAACCCTTGCTCACTGTTCTCGGTGACAAAGCACAACAATTGAGCATTGAGAGTAAAACTGAAGATGCACGAAAGGTGTTTGACGAGTCGCATACACTGCGTGAGGAGCTGGAGCAACTGAAGAAAGCTGCAGACAGGAAGTCCAAACAGTGTGAGATGCTTCAGCGCAACAAGGACGAATATGAAAATACAATATCAGCAGCAATCGTTTGGCTGGAACAGAAAGAGGATGTTCTTGCTGCTTGTAATACACTAGATATGGATACCACTAAGGTGGACCAGGCTATGGACAAACACAAGGTATATCAACAGATGTCAACTTAACATTGGTAGATAGATAAGTGGAAAAGTCTAGAGTTTATATGATGAGTAACCATAGTAACCAATAACATGTTTAGATAGAGGGTTTATTAGATGGGTAACTAGAGTGACCAAAAACCTGTTTAGATAGAGGGTTTATATGATGGGTAACTAGAGTGACCAATAACCTGTTTAGATAGAGAGTTTATATGATGGGTAACTAGAGTGACCAATAACCTGTTTAGATAGAGGGTTTATTTGATGGGTAACCATAGAGACCAATAACCTGTTTAGATAGAGGGTTTATTTGATGGGTAACCAGAATGACCAATAACCTGTTTAGAAAAAGGGTGATGGGTTATAAGAAAAGACTTGGTATAGCCAGGCTGACTGTAACCTGTGACATTTATTCTGTGACAGACTTTGTCTAAAGAAGCACTGGAGAAACTAGACATGGTCAAGGACAAGGCACAACTTGAGATGGCCATTTACCAGAAACTGGACGAACCATTACCTCCAGCTGTTGTGGAAAAGTTGGACCAGATTAAAACTCTAGAGGACTCCATTAAGGTACATTACAATAAGTAACAAATGTGTCGGACATATTCCTTTAGTTAAAAGTTTTTGTCAAACTTAACACTAGTACTATTTTATTATTTTATGAATGAGATATATAATTTTTAACCATGTAATTTTAGATACCTGAATAGAACTACTAGAAGGTGAAATTGATATGAATTAAATTAAGTATTGAATGTTTGATTACGTGCAGATTGCAATCAGTTGATGTGGATAGTCTTAGAATTCCATCAGATAATTCCTTTCTCATTTGATTTCAATGAATGGTGTCAGTAAATTTTCGATTTCCAGAATGCCATCAATAAATTTTCAATTTTCCAGAATGCCATCAATAAATTTTCAATTTTCCAGAATGCCATCAGTAAATTTTCAATTTTCCAGAATGCCATCTGTAAGAAGGAAAGCTACCTAGAGGAAGCCAAGGGTGACAGAGAACAGCTTCAGATGTCAATGAAACAGATTACTGAGTGGCTGAGTGGGGCTGAGGACATGTTAGATTCGGGGTACGATGGTCTGGATTACGACACACTTAACGACACGCTCAGTGAACAGAAGGTCAGTATTGTTTCTGATTTAGCTGTATTCAAGGAAGATGTTGTTATTGTAGAATAGATTAAATCTAGAGAGATCTTATTTTAAACTAGATTAAGTCTTGAGAGATCTTATTTTAAACTAGATTAAGTCTAAAGAGATCTTATTTTAAACTAGATTAAGTCTTGAGAGATCTTATTTTTAAACTAGATTAAATCTAGAGAGATCTTATTTTTAAACTAGATTAAGTCTAAAGAGATCTTATTTTTAAACTAGATTAAGTCTTGAGAGATCTAATTTTTAAACTAGATTAAGTCTAGAGAGATCTTATTTTTAAACTAGATTAAGTCTAGAGAGATCTTATTTTTAAACTAGATTAAGTCTAGAGAGATCTTATTTTTAAACTAGATAAGACTAGAAAGATCATATTTTTAAACTAGATTAAGTCTAGAGAGATCTTATTTTAAACTAGATTAAGTCTTGAGAGATCTTATTTTTAAACTAGATTAAGTCTAGAGAGATCTTATTTTTAAACTAGATTAAGTCTAGAGAGATCTTATTTTTAAACTAGATTAAGTCTAGAGAGATCTTATTTTTAAACTAGATTAAGTCTAGAGAGATCTTATTTTAAACTAGATTAAGTCTTGAGAGATCTTATTTTTAAACTAGATTAAGTCTAGAGAGATCTTATTTTTAAACTAGATTAAGTCTAGAGAGATCTTATTTTTAAACTAGATAAGACTAGAAAGATCATATTTTTAAACTAGATTAAGTCTAGAGAGATCTTATTTTTTACTTCCAGAGTCTAATTAGACAAAATTTTTACTTAGTGTTTGTAATCATTTCAGGACTACTTTTCTGAGGCAAGTATGTGCCAAGATGAGATGGAACAGGTGATGGATCTGTCGGAGCGCCTCTTACCAACACTCGACAACAACGACCGAGAAACTTTGCGACAAATGCTTAAGAATACCAATCAAAAACTGGCGAATGTGATGGCTGGTTCTTCACGGCAACAACAGTTCCTAGAACTGAAAGCTGATGAGTGGAGAACCTTCCAGGTGTGTACTGTACCTCTAAAGCACATGTGGTGTTTACTGCCAGGTTTTGACTATAATCATCAGCCTGACTTTATCTATTCACTAACTCAGAGCTCTCATTACATGTAGCTCTTTGTATACCTACAGTAACATTAAAGGGCTATATCGCAGTTGACTATTCGTAATGTTGAAATACTTTGGGTTTGGGATGTAAAGACAAGATGTGTTGTAATGTTAAGTATGAAAATTGTATCATGATCATTGATATTACAGTTACAAACTAGTACAAACAACCTTGATATTTATGTTCAGAATGCCGTGTAAAATGACATTTTTTTTACTCTATGTTATAGGAGGATGGATATGGTGTGATTGAGCAGATTGACCAGATGGAGGAGGAATGGGGTGTGTTGGAACATATGCCCGTCACCACTCCTGACGCGATTCACAAACAGGCTGTTGCAACCAAGGTAACACACCCTTCCTCTTGGCAATGATTTTATTGAATAATGTGGAAGGTTGTTGGTAAAATGATCTTATATGTGATAAATTGATCAGTATCAATCTCATGTCACCGTCTTGTTCACAATTTCAGAATTGAAATGTAATTGAATAACTTATTTTGAAAGTGAACACAAGTTTGGTCTTTTTCCAGGAGTTCCTAGCGAAGATTGATGAGATGAGACCATCAGTAAACGACCTCAATGATAAGTTTCGTGAGCTAGAAAAAACTGGCAATGCCTCCAGCAGAGCCATGGTCAATAAATTGATCACAGAGGTTAACGCTCGATGGAACAACCTGGTCTGTCAGACAGAAAACAAACAGATGACGATGCAGGTAAAAATGTCGCTTCTTAAATATCCACATCATACTACAGTAAAATGTGCCTGTAGACACATTGTTAGAGCTAAGATGTACTAACATGTATCTAATCTGTAGTATGGTATTGTATGACCTTGGGGGTAGGGGTTGTTGTTGTTGTTGTTGTTGTTGTTGTTGTTGTTGCCATGACAATGCTTAATGTTACAATTATTACATTAAGTGTTGTTATTACTATTAAAGATCCAACAGGGGCGCCATCTAATTTGTATAAATGATCCTGATTTTAAATTGATGTGTCCTCATCTGATCCTTAGGACCTTGGAGCACAATGGGACGAGTACAACACCCTGCTGTATGCTGTTGAGAACATGTTGCAAGAGGCAGACGAATCACTTCCTGTTGTAGATGTGGAGAACATGACAGCTCATGACTTAGTGACAATGCTTAACAATACAAAGGTAGTAATTGTAGATATTTCTACATCAATAATTGTTGTCATTGTAAGAGAGGATGATATTTCTGGAAGTTAGATGGTGATAACAACCTCATGAACTGCTATAAAAATGCCGCGATTTGATTTTATTTAAATCTCCATGGCTCCTGAAAAATGTAGCTAGAATATTTTTAAAGCATTTCTCTCAAACTCTTTAATGGAAATATGGAACTTCAGATAAGGATTCAAATGGAAGGGAATATGTGCGCCAGTGAAGCTGAGTTGTTTTGGAAGTAGAGTATAAGATTGTTGTCTGCTACCAGCACTCCATGTTTTATACTTTCACTCTCTCTTCCTCAGGCCCTAGCTACCAAACTTGACATCTCAGCACCAAAGATAGATGCACTGAAGAAGAGTGCACAAAATCTACAAAGGAATCTGCCAACCGCTGAAGCAAAAGTCCAGAATCAGGAACAGGTCATGACCCTGCTGGAGAAACTGGAAAGGTCAGTAGAACTGAAATTATTTAACATGTAGATTTCTGACGACTGATAGAAAGTGTGTGATGAATGACAGTTTTGTATTGTTTCCCTTCAGAATAACTGATCAGGTCAGCGAACAGGAAGCCGTGATTCTGGAAGAAATAGATGACAGGAGTTCTTTCCAAACTGAGGCTGATCAAACAGTGGCCTGGCTTTCGGAGACGAAACAGGAACTATCTCACATGGACCCAGGCAAGGAAGTGTCTGATGTAATGGAGAAAATGGAAAAACAAAAGGTAGGCACCATTTTATAGATCTGTATAAATAATAATTATAGCACCTTGTATGAGAACATGTGGATTTTTAGGTGTAATCTTGTTTTGTTGAGGTCCAGGTTTGGTTGTTATTTTGACTGACATTTGGTCCTATACAGTAAAAGTATGGATGCCCCCGATGGATGGATTAGGACAAGTTTCCAATTTCCCTAGACAGGTGTGATTCCCGAGAAAGTCCAGGGACAGGTCTGGTCAAGTGCAAACAAAACCTTCCTTCATCTGTCCAGCCATGATTTTAACCATGTGATTATACTGATACAACAGATATCTTTAATAGAGAATATCTGTTAAACTGAGGCTGTGTTGGAAGTTAAACTATAATTGGAAAGAGAAAGTGTCATGTATACATTGTAAGGGCCCTGCCCACTTCTTGTGAACCATAATTGGAAAGAGAAAGTGTCATGTATACATTGTAAGGGCCCTGCCCACTTCTTGTGAACCATAATTAGAAAGAGAAAGTGTCATGTATACATTGTAAGGGCCCTGCCCACTTCTTGTGCTATGTGTGTTTTGTTGGTAGGTTTGGTAACAAACTCCGCCCACCTCTCGCCTATTGGCTTGGAGTTGCAGAGTGTGTCTTAATTTTGCAGATGTATCTTTTAGTTCCCAAATTAAGACATAAGTGAGCACAGGTGATACCGGGGATATAATCCATTCCACCAGTTACTTTTATATAGAGTAGATAAAGTAGAGGTATATTAATTGTAAATATATTGTGTCTGCAATCTACCACAGGGATAACAAATATCCCTGGGAAAAATGTTCCTCATTTTCTGAAATGTTCCAAATTTTGTTGTAAATTAGGAACTTTCTTCATTCATGACCATACTTTTTGAATTCAGTAAATTGAGGGAATGTCCCATAGTTCCTCTGAGGGAATGTCCCATAGTTCCTCTGAGGGAATGTCCCATAGTTCCTCTGAGGGAATGTCCCATAGTTCCTCTGCCCTCACACACCAGGTTTGAACTTTCTCAAATAGGAGTTTAGATAAAACATTTGCTAGTTAATTAAAAAAAAAATCTGTCAGACATTTAAGAATAAATAAACTTTTAAAACTCCACACTGTTAGTTACTGACTGCCTTTCAATGATAAATCAATTTGTGTGGTATAAGGGAAGTCACTCTTTCAAATATCGAATGATATTCAACATTGACAAAGACTTTAATGATTGAAATGAATTTTGTAGAAATCTTTCAGACAATTAACAGCACACTAAATGTCTCTCTGTTATTGATATTCTTTAAGCATTAGTAAGATACATGTAAATATGAAACAAAATTGTCCTTCCTTGTTGAATTCATTGTGAATTGATGTGCCCAGGCTACTTAATCTAGGCTTGGTCTGTCATTATATGTTTCTCTTTTGAATATATACATCAGGAAATAGGTCATGACTTTTCCTTCATATCTTTGAACTAAGATACAGGGTTGTAGTGGTATTTTGAAATTGTACAAATGAGTCAGGAAACTTCTGAACTCCAAAGACACGTCTTCTTGATTACTGTATATAATAAATATGACCTATATTTGATTGAAAAGCAGCCCTTTTAGGATCAATAGAGTCATGGATCAGCATGGTGTGTATCAAAAGCGACAAAAGTATTGTGCTGTCTGTAGACTGTGTTCTTCCTCAGTGTATCACTTTGTACCTTGTTGCTTGTAGGTTCTCGAGCAAGAGATCTCCATTCGTATGGACCAAATGCGTCACATGAGTAAACTTCAAGAAACAAAATATGCAACCATGGGCAAAGACGTACCAGTCGAAATGAAGATGCAGATGGCAAGTTTAAGGGAGCTAGAGGCTGACGTTGGCATGGCAATGAAGGCGAAAGAGGAGGAGCTACAACATATTAAGGAAGACAGACAGGAAGTGACATCAGCACTGCGTGATGCGTCTGCCTGGCTAGGGGAGGCGGAGCTTCGATTACAGGAACGAATCATCAACATTCCAGACAGTCAGCGGAAACATCAGGTAATAATAATAACATTATTTACACTGTTCATCTGTATCATGTTCTTTTATTTAGTATAATAAGAAACATTGCTCCATCGTTAATTTCACCCTCGAATCAAACTTGTAATCATTACTTGAGAAGCAAATTTGCCCTAAAATACATAAATGTAGACCTTTCATCTGTAACAACAAATGTAGACTAGTCTATTTGTATTGTTGCCCTATTTTTGAAAGGCAAAAAGGTGACAATGACACAACTATGTTTCTATTTATACAGTAAACAGGTATGTTTATCTATGTATAATATTCTTGTTGTTGAAAGGTTTGTTTCTTTTACAGCTCTGGGTCAATTGAAACAAATTGTCTTACTGTTATAGACATTTGTGTGTGTCGCTATTTTTTATCCAGCTGTAAACAATCAGATATTCAGAAATCGTTCCATTTGCATATATAAGCAACAAGTGTATATGACTCTCACTCCTCTGAAGACCCTAAGCAACATTGGAAATTCTTCAAAATCTTCTTCTTCTGATCCAGATAATGATATTCAAATAATCAGGTGCATTGTCCAAAACACTCCTTCTCCCTCTCCTTCCTCAACCAACCCTCACACCTGAACCATTTGGCCCTATAACACCCTCTCCAGCAGGATTGAGTTCTGGGTGTAGTTGGAATTACAGGTGGTGGGCTGTGCAGATTACCCTTTGTCAGGTGTACATGTCTGTCATCCATGTATCTGCCCTTAAAAAAGTTTTGTTATAGGTCCATTAGTGAAGTTTATGAAAGTAAAATGGGGTGAGAGTGCACTGGAATCACCCTGTTTGTGTATCTGTCATCTGCGAATCTTGTGCATACAGTTCATAAGTTTTGATTTCCATGGTAAACTGAATCTATACCCAGTTTTCAAAAGGCCATAACTCTTCTGCTCCTCTCATTGATATAATTTGAACTTTGTCAAATGTTGTAACTTATAGCATATAATTTTATGTAAAAGCTTTTTATAAATCATTACCATGGAAGGCAAAAGTAGTTTCTGATTGGTCAGAATTTAGATATTACCCAATGCACCTGAAAATTGGTATACAAAGGTTTTGAGGAATAGCAAACACAATGGTTCCATAATGAACGATTGGTGTATTTGTGCACAGGTGTTAAAATACTTCAAGGGGAAAGCGTTGGTCAGCATTGATGGAGGACAAGTGGGTTTCTAAGTAAGCCTGGTAGGTTTACTCATATACTTCACAAGGTAATCCAGTGGTTGGAATAGGAATTGGCAGGAAAGTACTTAGCCTTGTACTGGCCAGCCATACCTTTACACTTGGGAGATACCATGTCCACGGAATAGACCAAAGTCAGATTCTGTTAATGTCTGTTTCTTTAAAGTGCTTGTCGATCAGAAGATACCATGTCCACAGAATAGACCAAAGTCAGATTCTGTTAATGTCTGTTTCTTTAAAGTGCTTGTTGATCGGGAGATACCATGTCCACGGAATAGACCAAAGTCAGATTCTGTTAATGTCTGTTTCTTTAAAGTGCTTGTTGATCGGGAGATACCATGTCCACGGAATAGACCCAAAGTCAGCTTCTGTTAATGTCTGTTTCTTTAAAGTGCTTGATCAATCTTCCTAAGATTTCATAGAAATTGCTGTCAATTGGCAAATATTAGGTTTTAAAAGTTGGAGAGTTTGTAATCACTTTTTCTGGAGAGTTTGTAATCACTTTTTCTTGAGAAGTACTAGATTGATGATTGGAATGAAGTGGTTGTATCTCAGCGGCCAGAACCACGATTAGGCATTTATTTAGTCTATCCAGGAAATATCCAAACATCATTTTGATGGTATAACCCTAGTGGTTATTTTTAGGTCACTATATTTATAGGATTTTCCCCTTGTATGTGTTGTGTCATATATATATTAACATATTACAGTAAATCAGTGACAAAATTTGTTGTTCACAAAATTTAAAGTATCTGTTGTTGAAGTGGACAAGTAGATTTTAATGTCAATTGTTGTTCCATAATTATTATAACACACCAGTTAGAATGTGTTTTTTTCACTCCACAAAGAAATGTGTGCTATTGACAGGCCTATACAACATTGATAGCTGTTTGTATTTGGTGATTGTCTCCCGAGCTGGGCAATTCATTGATAATTGTTGATATTTCTGCTTGAGTTAGCATGACATTTCTTACCTATACGTGTAAGTACACAAGTAACTGATTTCTCGACCTTCAACTCCAGGTGTATATGCACCCCTGATTTGTATCATATCCTGCCTCAGTGGTTGTCTATAGGTCGTAACGATGAATGCTGTTATTTATTCTTGATAATTCTCCAAAAATTCAGCAGTTTAAATGTTCCGTAGGACTTGGCTCGGGACTTATCTTCCAAAAATATTGTCCTGAATTTTATCTGAGATTAAGGTAGACTTACCTAGGTTTTGTTCAAAAATTTTCATTATTTAATTTAGAAATTAATGAGAAATCAATTTGTGTCTGCTATCAATAGACAAATACATTGCTTTTAAAAGTTTGGACAGGTGTGTGGGGTCAGAATATACAGGTAAAATGTGTCTGGCTTTGAACATTGACAGGTAAGTTTAGAGGAATTCTGCTCTGTATCTGTATCCAGTACTAGTTATCTGATACATAGGGAATTTAAAACATATTGCTGTAAAGTCTTGTGGGGTTTGTCAGAATTTTGCTGCGTGTATGCTATACCTTGGCTGCCTTTTAGAACATTTCCGTCACATAATCCTGAATACACATTCTTTACCTGCCCTGTGTTTGTAACCAGAATTACAAATGGAGTTTTGAATTCTCCCACTGTGTACTGATAATACCTGGTGAGAATTCAATATTTACTTACCACTGGCTGTTTGTATACTTTCATAGGTAAAAGTAACCTTGTATGTAATATGAGTTACTTGTCAAAACATGTTTTCTAAAAATGTAAATTTTGAATTGAAAAAAATATTTAGACTAAGCAATTAGCAATTGTGAAACTTTCTTTTTCCTGCTAGAGATGAAATTCCGCAACATCAGAATAAATGTTTGTGACAGTGATGTTTCCTATTTGAACAGGCCCTGCAGGATGAATTCTTTGAGTTTAAACAAGTGCTGGATAAATTGCGAACCAAAGGTAGTGATCTGATCAAACATACTCCTGACTCAGTGGAGAAACAAATCGTACAGAAAGCTCTTGCAGACACGAATCGACAGTGGCTCGCTCTACAAGCAAAATCGGTTGAGCATGCTCACAAACTTGCAACATCTGAAAAACTGTCTGATTCTTTTAATGACGTTGCTGAGGCAGTGAGGACTTGGCTGGACGGGGCTGAATCAGTTGTCAAGGCTAAACCTCAGTATGGACACTTTGACAAACTAAGGGAACAGCTGAAGCAGCATAGGGTAGGTGTTTCCTTTATGAATATTCATTAGCAAATGGTTGTAGCAAATGGTGGCACAGATGTAGTTTTGTCATGTTACTCATAGGTACATCAATCGGTTTGTCAGAATCCTTCAAATTTCATCATGGATGTGATCATGGTGCTTTTAAAAAAGATATCTCACTGATGTCACTTTTGCTCTTCATAGAAATGGTTGCTTCCCAGCTGTTGTCAGCTCTCCAGCTATTTATTATTATGGATTTTTATTTAACGTCATCCCATGGTCAAAAAAAAAAAAACCCAAAAAACTTCTAGTCTGTGTTTTGGTATTCATAAGGGCTTCAGTAACTTGGAATCTATACTTTTACACAAAATTTACTATAATATACATATGTTTTAACTTTCATAGGAAATTATCTTAAATTTGTTAAAGGTTGAGTGATAGACTACTTACATACTCCTCCATGTCCAACCTAGAATCCAGAGTAAGGAAATTGTGTTTTTGCAGATGAAAAACAGAAATTTATTTAAGGCACAAATAATAGTCATTGTGGAGTTGAATGGTCTGTGATAGTCCTTGAAGTACATTCATGAATTAAACAGAACTGACTTTGATCATGAATAGAGTCCTAAAATGTTGGCTGAATGTTGAAAATCATTTTAGGGAGAACAATGGCCACCATTCTTTTGGCACAGCAAGCATTTTGTTTAATATATGTCAAACCAACTATCTTTGTCTTTTAACAAAAGATAAAAATTGGGTGATAAATTTATCTTAACGAGTGTCCTATCCACAATGAAGAAGTCAACTGTAATAAAGAGGTCTTTGAGGTCAGCTTTTAAATAACTTTGCCTGATCATCAGTTTAAAAACAGTTTACAATGCTTAATGCCAATTTGGTACCATTCCAAACCCAAGCTTCCCTCACACCAGAACGTAAGCCAAAATATAACATTTGAATACTTATCAAGAAGTTGACACATTAACTGTAAATTAGGGTGTTTATTTCATCCTGTGTTGTAGAATATAAACAAAACCAAAGCAGGGATTGGTTTTATCAACCAATTATTTGTTGACAACTTATCAGGGAATTTTTACATTCTTTTAAATTCTGTAATGTGCACTGTCAAAACTTTCATATGACCAGTTTAATGGTCGCTGTGCTGGAGATATTGCTTTCACCAAAGGTCGTCATTGCAATCCGAGAAGTATTTCAAGGAGAGTTTTTTCAATTTGTGTATAATTGGATTTAATGGTGGATAATAGTTATATATAAACTACTGTGGGTAGGTGAAAAGGAAAGAGTAGGGGGACTATGCTTTATAATGGATAGGATCAATACAATATTATGTTTGCTTTTGCAACAACGTAACAGAGTGAGTATACACTATTTTTGCTTTTAGACTGCCTTCTGGCTGGTATTTTAGAAAAAAAGATCTGATTATGGAGAGCATAGCCAGACTTTGTTAACTTTAGATCAATGGGAGATGATATTAATACTGTTAAGGACATGGACTGTGTCAGGATTTGATGATACAATATATCACCAAGTTATGGTGTTGTCCAGATTGGTACATTTTGTGTGTGATAGAAAACTTATACGAACATTTAGTTGAGAAATAAAGATTTACAAATTAAGTAGACTGCATGTAACAAGCAACCATGCTGAAGTTTTTCATACAGGTCCTAGTTCTACAGCTTTGGAGTAAAACCTTGCAATGAATAAGGATTTACAGATGGTGAAATTTACAAATGCCCTTATTACTAAAGAGATTGATCTAGAATTGAAATGTAACACGATAAAATCACTTTTGAATGTTAATATATTGTACAACAAATAATCAATATGTATTACATAAGGGACATTTATCACTGAATAACAGGACATCTGTAATTTTTACAACAGAGACTTGCACGCGACCTTGACCACAACCAAGGTCGCCTGGCACACCTTAACTCCTTGTCAAAACAAATGGAGGAGGTATGTGACTCATCATCAAGTCGTGAACAACTACAGCAGCTGAACCAACGTATGTACAACCTGCAGACAGACGCTTCGGACAAACTTAGCAAACTAGAGGACGCTACTGAAGAAATGGAAGATTTTGAGACTGAACTGGCCAGTCTGCGACAGTGGATGGACAATACAAGGGCACAAATGACCATGAGGGATGCCTCATTGACTCTTAAAGACCAACTGGCCATGCAGGAGGTAAGAGGGATATATTTTACTTACAAGAAGTATTATTTATTTTAGGGGAAATTTGATTTTATCTATTATTTCGTATTTCTTCAGTCATCATTTCTTCTTCTTTAAACAATGAATGGCCTGAATTTCTGTGTTGAGTTGTATACACTTTGAGGAAATTTTGAAATGTTGCTTAGTTGTTATTGATACAGAAAACTAATATTTGGTTTACAGAAACTGGTGGAGGAGATCGAGAGCAACAAAGGGAAAGCACTCCTGGTGTTACAGAAACAAAAAGAACTCCAGCACGCTGAGAGTGACCAACCAACAACAGACAAGCTGGCGAAGGAGATAAACCAGCTACAGGCGATGGCTAGGGATCAATGTGCTACACTGAGAGAGGCTGTCGTACAACAGGAACAGTATGAGGGAGACCTACAGACATTGACTGCAGCTATAAACGAGGCTCAGGACAAACTTCTGGCTTCCCCTGTCAATCCATCTGATGTCAACTCCCTTAAAAAGCAGATTGCGGAACATAATGTATGTACTTCTAAGACTAATCAATCACTGGCCTGCCCTAAAGACACGCCCACATCACACACACGAGTGGTCTGTTTCTCACTCTCATGTATATTCATAGAAATACAGTCATGGATATTCATAGTTTCTCACTCATATGAATATTCTTAGTTTTTGCACACTGATGAATACCTGTTAATCCACTGTTATAAAGGATCTGTTGTAGTCTCTATTGGTTCAAACTGTTTCACTGTCTTAGTTTAGAATTTCTTACATTTCTTGTAAGATCACATAGTGTAGTCACCCAGATTCTTTGATAAAACCCTTTATTGTTAAGTCACCAGAATCTCCTGGTCAGATCCCTTAGTCACTAGTCACCAGGACCACCTGGTCAGATCCCTTAGTCACTAGTCACCAGGACCACCTGGTCAGATCCTTTAGTCACTAGTCACCAGGACCACCTGGTCAGATCCTTTAGTCACTAGTCACCAGGACCACCTGGCCAGATCCCCTAGTCACTAGTCACCAGGACCACCTGGTCAGATCCCCTAGTCACTAGTCACCAGGACCACCTGGTCAGATCCCTTAGTCACTAGTCACCAGGACCACCTGGTCAGATCCTTTAGTCACTAGTCACCAGGACCACCTGGTCAGATCCCCTAGTCACTAGTCACCAGGACCACCTGGCCAGATCCTTTAGTCACTAGTCACCAGGATCTCCTGGTAAAATCCCCTAGTTTCTAGTCACCAGGATATCCTGGTAAAATCCCCTAGTTTCTAGTCACCAGGATCTGGTAAAATCCTCTAGTATATCTGTGTGATGTACTCTACCAAAAACAGAATAATTGCTCTTTGTTTATACTGGATCATTGATCTCAATACCATTTGGTCACCTACAATTACAAAACTTGATAGAGTCTTTCTTTGTCAACAAGTGTTTGTCACATGAACACACAAAACAGAAATGACTTTGACATGGAAAAAATGTTGTACATGTGCAAGTCATTGTCTTGATTTGTCTTAATGTTATAAAGATGTGTTGGTTTGACATACATTGCACCACATTTGTAATACTTATATTATCTTAATATTTATAAAGTAATCATCATACCTTAACCATACTTCAATACTGTAACACTTAACTAGGGCTTACCCAAGTTATCTCCCTTGGTTGTATACCCAGATTAATAAATCATCATTTACAAGGAAATCATGTGACCTTCAGTTTTAAAAACACATTTTCAGTGACTATATAACTACTATTTTTTGTTGGTAAAAGTTTGAGATATACTAGGTGAAGTACTATTAAGGTGTATGATTGTCACATAAGCCCAGAACATCTACCTGAGGTATATACAAAAACTAAAGTCAGGGGGTGGGCTTGTTGCAGGACAATGATATAGCATTTGTTTGTAATTCTGCTACATTGAAATAGATAAAGAAGGGCTTATTACTAGATAGGGCATATTGCTAGACAGTTACGGATTGTTGAAAAGAAATAGGAACTTCATGACATCTATTGACCTCTCATGACCCATGATGTGGTGTCTGCTCTCAGTACTTTGGTGTATCTGTCAGTTTATACTTAAAAGATATTGTCTAAGAACTTGGGACCGTTTTTTACATGAAAGTCTGGTAACAATGAGCTCTACACCTAATTATATATTTTAATTAGTCATCATTAGTCATTTTTGAAGTGTCAAAGGTCACATTTTGATGAGGTGAGATACATATGTGTTTAATGTATATGTGAGCTTTGTCACTTTGTATGAAAGTATTGTCTTAAGATATTAAACATATCTTGTCATTGATAATCATTGCATTTATTACAAGTAGTTTAATGTACATGGTTAACTAATATTATAACATTGTATCAAGATGGCTAACAGCACAATGTTGCCTCCTTACATTGTTTTGTATAGCGTTAACATTTTACAGAATTCACTCTCTTGACACCTGTGAACTTTTCAAAATCGTAACTGAACTAAGTATTTTCCTTGACAATGAAGAGTTTATGAAGAATTCTGTAAATATCAGTGTTGTATGAAACTTTCCTTGGTGTCCTAGAGAACAATGTCTGAAATGATAACGCTATACAAAATACTTTTATTTCATAGAATTTTATTTCATTGCTACAATCACAAACAAAGTTTTTTTAATCTGTCAACAATGATTATGAAAATTAATGTATTCCTCCCTGGAAATCAACATAATTATTTTTCATCAAGCAAATGTTTCTGGTTGTAGCATTTCAGTTTTCATTTACTAATTTTTAGATTGCATGCTGGGTACTAGTTGATCTTTGCTTCTGCTTCATCTAGATGTTCTTATACTCATGGTCTTGATCAGTTTAGCTCTTGTATTAAGTAAGTAGACTTCTGTCCACCTAGCAAACTGAGGACCACACAAATTGCTTGGAACTCATTTGTGGTGGTTACTAAGGAAGCTCCTTTCTGTGTTGTGTGGGTAGTCAAGGAGATTCTGTAGCTGGTAATTGAAATGTCTAAGATATTCCCAAAAGTCAATTTTGGGGTACGTTATGTTTGGTTCTCTGTTGTTCTCAGCCCAGACCTCATTTAATAATATCAAGGAAATCCTCCTCAAGGTCAAATATTAATATGTTACTTATGATATTTATGGATTGTTTATTGCTGAAATATGAAATGATAAGTTATGGATTGTAACTTAAATGGACGGTACACTTTACATCTGTTTAAGATATGACCTAGTCACCTGTATATCAGAAAAGGTATGACCTAGTTTCCTGTATATCAGATAAGGTATGACCTAGTCTCCTGTATATCAGATAAGCTATGACCTAGTCTCCTGTATATCAGATAAGATATGACCTAGTCTCCTGTATATCAGATAAGATATGACCTAGTCTCCTGTATATCAGATAAGGTATGACCTAGTCTCCTGTATATCAGATAAGATATGACCTAGTCACCTGTATATCAGATAAGCTATGACCTAGTTTCCTGTATATCAGATAAGCTATGACCTAGTTTCCTGTATATCAGATAAGATATGACCTAGTTTGTCAATGGTATCTATATGTGATTAGGTGATTTTTAATCCAGAATAGAATAGGACTTTTCATGGTGTGTAAGTTTCTGCGATAATTTAAAAGTGAAGGAAGTTAACCCTAACTTAACTATTTTCTGTCCCTTCACCGTACTGCGTTCATGAAGGAAGTTAATCCTAACTTAACTATTTGAATTTCATATTTGAGCAATAGACTAATGGTTTTAGGAGTTACAGTGACCTAGTTTAATTATACTGTATAAATGATTTTCTCCAGTTATGGCCTTCTCCAGAATTAAATCCATTCTGATTTACTTTATGCCTGGGACATCTTACTCAAGATAATTACTTGACAAATTTTGTTCATCATGTTAACACATCAAATTAATATTTTTTTTATTTAACATTAAACTTTGATTATCATAAATTAATAAATCATGAATATTCACTTTAATTTTCTAATTTTCACCATCAATAAGTCTCCATATGTTTAATACCATTAATTGTTACCAAAACAATTTTTTTTTTAATTTATCAAAACCTTCTTTCCTTCACCCAAATATTTCTTTTAGTTCACAAAATCATTTTTGATTGGTATATTTTTTGTTAACGGTTTACAGTACTGTAAAATAATACTCTATTTTTAGCCAGAATGGCCAAGTAAGCTTATGGTTTACTGCAGCATCCATCGTCTGTCCATCCATCTATGAATTTTTTCCCTAAAAATTTCTACTTGTCATAAACAACTCTCAGAATTTTGACAAAATTTGGTAAGAAGCATCATTGTGGGAAGGGCAATCAACTTTGTATAAGTAGTGGATCTCTGCCCCCAGGTACTTAAGGGGCAGGGCCCAAAAGGGGAAAATTTAAAATCCTACTCCTCCTGTAGGAATTATTGGACTTTGCCCAAATTTGGTCTGAAAGAGAAATCAATTTTGTGATGGTCTTGACCACCTAGGGTTTGAGGAATGGGGCCCAGTAGGGGAAATTTTTTAAAATCCTTCATCTTCTTTAGGGATACCTAGCTGTTGTCCCATGGTAGTCTGAAGCATGCCTGGGTAAAGGGGAATCAATTTTAGATAAATGATTGGTGTGAGCCCCCTTGGGTAGGAGGGACATGGCCCAGTAGGGGAAATAGAGCAAATCTTTTAAAATCCTATAAGAATTATCGAATTTTGCCCAAATTTGGTCTGAAGCATTTTTAGCTGAAAGGGAATCCATTCTGTAAGTGTTGGGTCTTGGTCCTCTTGGGTAGAAGGAGTGAGGTCAGATAGAGGAAATGAAGCAAATCTCTAAAATCTTCTTCGGTATGAATACCTAGATGTCGTCCCAGTTTGGTATGAGGCATGCTTACAATGTATCTGATCTGATGGGGCCCTTATTGGAGAAATAGACATAAAACCTCTTAATGCTTATCAATTAGATTAAAGGAATTATAGCCAATTAAACCTGGTGAGCGATACAGGTCATATATGCCTCTTTTTTTTTTTTTTCTTTTCTTAATTTTACGGCTACTTTTATCTGTTAACACCAATATTTTATTGTCTAAATCATAATTCCAGCTATGATTTCTATATTTAGCATGTGATATGCACAGCTTGTGATGCCATGCATGTGCTTACATCTCACTTGGTTTCAGGCTCTTGCCAGTAAGATTAAAACCCATCAAGCTAAGGTCAATGACATAAACGAAAAAAGTCGCGCACTTACTGAGAGAAGTCTTCTGATTGGCCCAGACACTGCAGAAAAGCTGTGTGAACTTGGATATTACCCATCAACCCTATCATCGCTCAAAGTTTCAGTTCGGCCTGATTCCACAGCTCCCGACAGTGGGGTTTCAATGTCACCAATGACCTCCTTTGATGCTACCCCACAGACATTTTCAGACGTTGACTTTTCAAACTCTACGCTAAGATCAGGACGTTCTGGCCGTGATAAGCTAAGTCACAGGTCAAGTGATCAGCCATGTATGGCGAGTGCCAATAGTCTCTCTGCTCGTTCCGATGACACAGATGTACTTTTAGATGAAAGTTTGGAGCCTATGTATGTGCCAAGAGTCCATTCAGGCTGCGAGTTGAAATCACCTGCTCCACATCATGAAATGAAACTGGATTTATCATATTGGTCAAAATCAAGTCAACATGATGATCCTGATCGAGGAGCCTCCGGTGGTAGTGTTCGTTCAACTGACCGACACTCTTCCCCGTGGAGGGCCAGGTCATCCTCCCCTCAGAGGGAACGGTCAACCTCCCCCCAGAGGGTTATTCACCACCCCTCGGAGGAGAGGTATCACCACAGGTACCGACCCCTTTCCATGCGCTCTCTGTCCCCTGCCTCTAGCATACAGGCTAGTCCGAGAGAATGGAAGAAACCAAAGTTAACCCCTCTGGTTCCATACTCAGAAATGGTAATTATTTGCGATCTTATTATACAGACTTTGAATGTTGTATAGAATATTCTCTATCATATCTGCTACTGTGTCATTCTGTATAAACTCTTGGTATGATTCTAAACCTTCACTGTAGCAGGTAATTACAATAAATATACTGTTATCCTCCCCATGATCTGACCTGTAATATTACCATAAATATCCCGGTATCACACCTGTAATTACCATAACTATACTGTTATCATCCCCTACTGTGACCTGTAATTACCATAAATATACTGTTATCATCCCTTACTATGACCTGTAATTACCATAACTATACTGTTATCATCCCCTACTGTCACTTGTACCATAAATATACTGTTATCATCCCCTACTGTGACCTGTAATTACCATAAATATACTGTTATCATCCCCTACTGTCACTTGTACCATAAATATACTGTTATCATCCCTTACAGTGACCTGTAATTACCATAAATATACTGTTATCATCTGTCCTTGTACCATAAATATACTGTAACTGTCACTTGTACCATAAATATACTGTTATCATCCCTTACAGTGACCTGTAATTACCATAACTATACTGCTATCATCCCTTACTATGACCTGTAATTACCATAAATATACTGTTATCATCCCCTACTGTGACCTGTAATTACCATAAATATACTGTTATCATCCCCTACTGTCACTTGTACCATAAATATACTGTTATCATCCCTTACAGTGACCTGTAGTTACCATAGATATACTGTTATCATTCCCTACTGTGACCAGTAATTACCATAACTATACTGTTATCATCCCCTACTGTGACCTGTAATTCCCCAGCTGTTGTTGCTGGGCTGACTCGAGTATTGTTAGATTGACCCTACTGAACATCAGTAACATGCATGTTACCATCCACTTCTTATTTAGTGATATGATTCACACAAATCTATAAACCACATTGTCTTGTAGATTGAAAAGCAAAAATCTCCCCTGAAATATGAACATGTTTGATATTTCATCTGTACTATGAGAATGTTTGGTAATGCTAGATTTAAATTTCAACTTTCCTCAAAGCCTCAGTGTTTTCTCTGATGAACACTTTTTTTTATCTGATAACTTTGTGGTATGTTATAGACATCATTGCATGGCCTTGAAGTAGGTTTGTCCGTAAGGTGTTGGTAGTTTGGCATTGTTTGTGTCAAGTTTGGTTAATGTGTGTTTGTGTTGGTGAATGCTAGAACCATGATTAACTTATGGTGTGGTGTTGGCTGTATATATTGTAACATATTGTTGGCTAGAAACATGCTACAAACATTTGAGGTCTCAAGGTCTCAAATACTTTTTATTGAAAATTAATTCTTATGTGATGATACAGTCTGGTCTAAATCTCTTGTTTTAGGAGATTGAAGATTGAAGATGGAGGGGTGGGGGTGTTAGGAGAATTTTCAGAAAAAGATGAACTCAGTTTGTAGCATGTAGCTAGGTTTTGCTTAAGAATGAAAGTGTGCTTTGTACTTAACATGCGGCTGACCTCTGACCTTTATTCATAACGCTTACCAGGATATATCTGCCAGCGTGCCAAACTTACTACAGCCAACAGAGCTAACGCCTCGAGAGAGAAGTGCTTCTTTTGGATCAAAACTCTCTCGTCCAAAACCACAACAACACCGCCCGCTTGGCCATAGTGGCCAGGACACACGGCTAGCTCAGCTCAACCAATCATGGAACTGTTTACAACAGCAGGTAGGCCAGAATCATGATTAATCTGAAGTCATTTAACAACAGGAAATATCATAATCTATTCACCATGCTTCATTGCTGGCACAAAACACTGTTATTTGTTTACGAGCATGTTTATGTAACATATCTGCCTAAAATGCTAAGATCAACATTTCTCTTGATTTTAAGAAAATCATTTATTGAAAGTACCAATCAGCTCCCATATAGTCAACAAGGATATGACACAGTGTTAAAGTTATTGTTACTTTAATGAATATACAACAGATTTAATGTTTTGCTCATTTTCTATGTTTGAGTTACTTCCCTTGGCTGGAGGGACCAAGGGTTTATATATTTTGAAAGTTACCTTTGTGGGAAGATTACGGGACTGCTAAACTGAAAGTCTCTGCTATATCCAGAGTTATGGCCCTTAACTTTTAGCTCACCATCATCAGATTGTGGTCTATTCAAATCTCCTTCCAACAGAAGCCTGTGAGTCTGTCATCCTTCTATCCATCCATTAGTCTGTTAATGATTTTTGTTACAGCTGTTTCTTGAGAAGAAATGGATTGATCTTTCTCAAATTTTATATGTAGGTTTCTCTTTGTCTCTAGTTTTGCCGTTTGATTCTTTTAGAAACAACTACCCATCATGATATTGTAGACTCTATAAATACCATCTCCCCATCATGATATTGTAGACTCTATAAATACCATCTCCCCATCATGATATTGTAGACTCTATAAATACCATCTCCCCATCATGATATTGTAGACATGATATTGTCTATAAATACCATCTCCCCATCATGATATTGTACATCTCTATAAATACCATCTCCCCATCATGATATTGTAGACTCTATAAATACCATCTCCCCATCATGATATTGTAGACTCTATAAATACCATCTCCCCATCATGATATTGTAGACTCTATAAATACCATCTCCCCATCATGATATTGTAGACTATAAATACCATCTCCCCATCATGATATTGTAGACTCTATAAATACCATCTCCCCATCATGATATTGTAGACTCTATAAATACCATCTCCCCATCATGATATTGTAGACTCTATAAATACCATCTCCCCATCATGATATTGTAGATCTCTATAAATACCACTCTATAAATACCATCTCCCCATCATGATATTGTAGATCTCTATAAATACCATCTCCCCATCATGATATTGTAGATCTCTATAAATACCATCTCCCCATCATGATATTGTAGATCTCTATAAATACCATCTCCCCATCATGATATTGTAGATCTCTATAAATACCATCTCCCCATCATGATATTGTAGACTCTATAAATACCATCTCCCCATCATGATATTGTAGACTCTATAAATACCATCTCCCCATCATGATATTGTAGACTCTATAAATACCATCTCCCCATCATGATATTGTACATCTCTATAAATACCATCTCCCCATCATGATATTGTAGACTCTATAAATACCATCTCCCCATCATGATATTGTAGACTCTATAAATACCATCTCCCCATCATGATATCTGTACATGATATTGTCTATAAATACCATCTCCCCATCATGATATTGTACATCTCTATAAATACCATCTCCCCATCATGATATTGATAGATCTCTATAACTTACATTCTCCCCATCATGATATTGTACATCTCTATAAATACCATCTCCCCATCATGATATTGTAGACTATAAATACCATCTCCCCATCATGATATTGTACATCTCTATAAATACCATCTCCCCATCATGATATTGTACATCTCTATAAATACCATCTCCCCATCATGATATTGATATAAATACCATCTCCCCTTCATGATATTGTACATCTCTATAAATACCATCTCCCCATCATGATATTGTAGACTCTATAAATACCATCTCCCCATCATGATATTGTAGATCTCTATAAATACCATCTCCCCATCATGATATTGTAGATCTCTATAAATACCATCTCCCCATCATGATATTGTAGATCTCTATAAATACCATCTCCCCATCATGATATTGTACATCTCTATAAATACTGACTCTATCATGATATTGTAGACTCTATAAATACCATCTCCCCATCATGATATTGTAGACTCTATAAATACCATCTCCCCATCATGATATTGTAGACATCATAAATTGTATCTACCATCTCCCCATCATGATAATACCATCTCCCCATCATGATATTGTATGATCTCTATAAATACCATCTCCCCCCTATAAATCATGATATTGTAGATCTCTATAAATACCATCTCCCCATCATGATATTGTAGACTATAAATACCATCTCCCCATCATGATATTGTAGACTCTATAAATACCATCTCCCCCATCATATTATATTGTAGATCTCTATAAATACCATCTCCCCATCATGATATTGTACACTATAAATACCATCTCCCCATCATGATATTGTACATCTCCATCTCTATAAATACCCCATCATGATATTGTACATCTCTATAAATACCATCTCCCCATCATGATATTGTACATCTCTATAAATACCATCTCCCCATCATGATATTGTCATCTCTATAAATACCATCTCCCCATCATGATATTGTACATCTCTATAAATACCATCTCCCCATCATGATATTGTACATCTCTATAAATACCATCTCCCCATCATGATATTGTACATCTCTATAAATACCACATCATCTATAAATACCATCTCCCCATCATGATATTGTACATCTCTATAAATACCATCTCCCCATCATGATATTGTACATCTCTATAAATACCATCTCCCCATCATGATATTGTACATCTCTATAAATACCATCTCCCCATCATGATATTGTACATCTCTATAAATACCATCTCCCCATCATGATATTGTAGACTATAAATACCATCTCTATAAATACCATCTCCCCATCATGATATTGTACATCTCTATAAATACCATCTCCCCATCATGATATTGTACATCTCTATAAATACCATCTCCCCATCATGATATTGTACATCTCTATAAATACCATCTCCCCATCATGATATTGTACATCTCTATAAATACCATCTCCCCATCATGATATTGTACATCTCTATAAATACCATCTCTCCATCAAATACCTATAAATACCATCTCCCCATCATGATATTGTACATCTCTATAAATACCATCTCCCCATCATGATATTGTACATCTCTATAAATACCATCTCCCCATCATGATATTGTACATCTCTATAAATACCATCTCCCCATCATGATATTGTACATCTCTATAAATACCATCTCCCCATCATGATATTGTACATCTCTATAAATACCATCTCCCCATCATGATATTGTACATCTCTATAAATACCATCTCCCCATCATGATATTGTACATCTCTATAAATACCATCTCCCCATCATGATATTGTACATCTCTATAAATACCATCTCCCCATCATGATATTGTACATCTCTATAAATACCATCTCCCCATCATGATATTGTACATCTCAAATAATTTTACCATCTCCCCATCATGATATTGTACATCTCTATCTCCCCATCATGATATACCATCTCCCCATCATGATATTGTACATCTCTATAAATACCATCTCCCCATCATGATATTGTACATCTCTATAAATACCATCTCCCCATCATGATATTGTAGACTATAAATACCATCTCCCCATCATGATATTGTACATCTCTATAAATACCATCTCCCCATCATGATATTGTAGACTATAAATACCATCTCCCCATCATGATATTGTAGACTCTATAAATACCATCTCCCCATCATGATATTGTACATCTCTATAAATACCATCTCCCCATCATGATATTGTACATCTCTATAAATACCATCTCCCCATCATGATATTGTACATCTCTATAAATACCATCTCCCCATCATGATATTGTAGACTCTATAAATACCATCTCCCCATCATGATATTGTAGACTATAAATACCATCTCCCCATCATGATATTGTACATCTCTATAAATACCATCTCCCCATCATAACATTGTAGATCTTTATAAATACCATCTCCCCATCATGATATTGTAGACTCTATAAATACCATCTCCCCATCATGATATTGTAGACTCTATAAATACCATCTCCCCATCATGATATTGTAGACTATAAATACCATCTCCCCATCATGATATTGTACATCTCTATAAATACCATCTCCCCATCATGATATTGTAGACTCTATAAATACCATCTCCCCATCATAACATTGTACATCTCTATAAATACCATCTCCCCATCATAACATTGTAGATCTTTATAAATACCATCTCCCCATCATGATATTGTACATCTCTATAAATACCATCTCCCCATCATGATATTGTACATCTCTATAAATACCATCTCCCCATCATGATATTGTATAAATACCATCTCCCCATCATGATATTGTACATCTCTATAAATACCATCTCCCCATCATGATATTGTACATCTCTATAAATACCATCTCCCCATCATGATATTGTAGACTCTATAAATACCATCTCCCCATCATAACATTGTAGATCTTTATAAATACCATCTCCCCATCATGATATTGATCTTTATAAATACCATCTCCCCATCATGATATTGTAGACTCTATAAATACCATCTCCCCATCATGATATTGTACATCTCTATAAATACCATCTCCCCATCATGATATTGTAGACTCTATAAATACCATCTCCCCATCATGATATTGTACATCTCTATAAATACCATCTCCCCATCATGATATTGTAGACTCTATAAATACCATCTCCCCATCATGATATTGTAGACTCTATAAATACCATCTCCCCATCATGATATCGCCATCATCTATGAGAAAGTTTAAAATCTATGAAGCTACACCCATAAAAGATTTAATATTGAGGATTTACCTGAAGATTAAAATTAAATCAGACTGTTATGAAGGTAAGATTGGCTCTGGTAAAGGCACATGGAAATGTCAGTAAACACTGGACAGCCTGACATTATAACCTAATTATCTAACTGTATTGCCGCGGGTGAAACACTCTTTGGTTTTGATGATCCTTTAAAGAGTTCTAAGATTGTTTGAAGATCTCTTTGAATTTTGTGTGGCTGTTTTCCCTTACTAACACAGTTTACTTCAATAAAATTTTTGACCTGTGAAATGGTGTGTTATTTTAAAAACAATTTAACTCTTTGATAAATGCAATAATTTTAGTAAATTTAAAATCTTCTTGGCTATTACATAAATGGTCCCTATTTTATTTGCAAAACCATTTGTATGATCTGAAACTAGTTTTTCATCCGATCGATTTGTGTACTTTTAGTCTTTTGTAAAAAATTTTTATCTGGAATGATTTCAATATTATTGATTGCTTTTATTGATTTGATAGTTTGATAAATTATTTAGGGCTGTGAGGGCCTCTCAACCTTACATAGCATTCAGCCATATCTGTACGACAGATGTCAAAGATTTACGATGATTAGCTGTCACTATAGGTAAAAGTATTTAAGTATTTTATCAATGTGTATGGGAATTCTTGTTCAAATACTTCAAAACAAGCTGTTTTAATTCATACATTTGTTTAAGGGTTTTAGAATTAAAGTGAAAAAAAATCCTTTTTTTTTTTAAATGTCACAACTTTTCACTTAAAATCTGTTGACATTTACTATACAGACCTGATGTCATGGTTGGTTTTGAATTGTCAATAGATTGTTCAGAGTTCTAGGTATATAATGGTATCCCTGCAAGGATACGCTTCAGTTGTCACATATTATTCAGCCAGAATTTTCAATGAATCAATCCCACAGGTGAATAGATGGTGTATACTAATATCATCGCAAGAACGATCGGGGAAAGTTTCGCTGAGTCTGTGTATTGGGTATTGATTCCTACATAACTCCAGGATATCAGAGTTTATGTACAGAATGAACCAATTTTATTTTCTGTTCCACAAGCACGTTCTTATTTCTGTAAATATGTTTGATTTAGTGTTTGTGATAGGATTTATTGGTTTATGAGCCCAGACACCTGATGAAGTTGAATTTAGTATGAATTACAGTACATATAAACACCTGTGAGATGTTGTGAATGGTGTTATTAAATTTGATTAGGATTTATAACCTCTACGACCACATTTCCCAGTTGTGGACATATTTTGTACCTTTGCTTGATTGAAAAACGGGTCTACTTTTCATCCTTCAATTACACTTACTCTTGTGGCAAGGAGTTACACGGGTGATAAAAGTATTACTACAGGTACCCTGTGATAATGTAGAGGGATAGCAATGGTGTTGGCCAGCAGCCATGGGTGTGTAAATATGTGTGGGTCTGTGTTCGTAACCCTATCAGTAACTGATGACAGCCCTAGATTTGAATGCAACAAGTATGACCTAGGATTACCGACTGATTAATCCACAATGATACAGCCACGATCATTTAGGCTGAGGTCAGCTCCACTGACCACCAAAGTAGGGTCAATCTTGCAGACCAACCCAAACAAGGCCACAGATTTTCATCATCCTAATAGAGTTGGTAATATTTTGAAACATTCTTCCAAACAGCTGGGCGTGCGAGAACAGGAGCTACAGCATGCTCTTCACAAACAGGAACGTTACCAACAGTGTGTCCAGGACGTAACAACAAAGATGGAACGAGCTCACTTGCGACTCAATAAAGGCTTTCCCTCGAGTCTGACGGATCTTGATCGACAACTAAACGACTACAGAGTAAGTCACTTAGTTACATGTACAGACATATTATGTATTAGATGAAGGAGTCTGTTTAGACAGGTTCTTTATTAGATGAGAGAGTCTGTTTAGACAGGCTCTGTATTGGATGAAGGAGTCTGTTTAGACAGGCTCTGTATTAGATGAGGGAGTCTGTTTAGACAGGCTCTGTATTAGATGAGGGAGTCTGTTTAGACAGGCGCTTTATTAGATGAGGGAGTCTGTTTAGACAGGCGCTTTATCAGATGAGGGAGTCTGTTTAGACAGGTTCTGTATTAGATGAGGGAGTCTGTTTAGACAGGCCTGATTAAGATGAGGGGTCTGTCTAGACAGACTCTGTATTAGTTAAAGGTATGTTTAGACAGGTTCTGTACTAGATGAAGGTATGTTTAGACAGACTCTGTATTAGAAGAAGGTATGTTTAGACAGGTTCTGTATTAGAAGAAGGTATGTTTAGACAGGTTCTGTACTAGATGAAGGTATGTTTAGACAGGTTCTGTATTCAATGTGAGGTCTGTTTAGACAGACTCTGTATTAGAAGAAGGTATGTTTATACAGGTTCTGTACTAGATGAAGGTATGTTTAGACAGGTTCTGTATTCAATGTGAGGTCTGTTTAGACAGGCTCTGTATTAGAAGAAGGTATGTTTAGACAGGTTCTGTACTAGATGAAGGTGTGTTTAGACAGGTTCTGTATTCAATGTGAGGTCTGTTTAGACAGACTCTGTATTAGAAGAAGGTATGTTTAGACAGGTCCTGTACTAGATGAGGGAGTCTGTTAAGACAGGCTCCATATTAGATGAGGGAGTCTGTTAAGACAGGGTCTTTATTAGATTAGGGAGTCTGTTTAGACATGTTCTGTATTAGATGAAGGAGTCTGTTTAAACAGGCTTTGTGTTAGATGAAGGAGTCTGTTTAGACAGGCTTTGTGTTAGATGAAGGAGTCTGTTTAGACAGGCTTTGTGTTAGATGAAGGAGTCTGTTTAGACAGGCTTTGTGTTAGATGAAGGAGTCTGTTTAGACAGGCTTTGTGTTAGATGAAGGAGTCTGTTTAGACAGGCTTTGTGTTAGATGAAGGAGTCTGTTTTGACAGGCTTTGTGTTAGATGAAGGAGTCTGTTTAGACAGGCTTTGTGTTAGATGAAGGAGTCTGTTTAGACAGGCTTTGTGTTAGATGAAGGAGTCTGTTTAGACAGGCTTTGTGTTAGATGAAGGAGTCTGTTTAGACAGGCTTTGTGTTAGATGAAGGAGTCTGTTTAGACAGGCTTTGTGTTAGATGAAGGAGTCTGTTTAGACAGGCTTTGTGTTAGATGAAGGAGTCTGTTTAGACAGGCTTTGTGTTAGATGAAGGAGTCTGTTTAGACAGGCTTTGTGTTAGATGAAGGAGTCTGTTTAGACAGGCTTTGTGTTAGATGAAGGAGTCTGTTTTGACAGGCTTTGTGTTAGATGAAGGAGTCTGTTTAGACAGGCTTTGTGTTAGATGAAGGAGTCTGTTTAGACAGGCTTTGTGTTAAATGAAGGAGTCTGTTTAGACAGGCTTTGTGTTAAATGAAGGAGTCTGTTTAGACAGGCTTTGTGTTAAATGAAGGAGTCTGTGTAGACAGGCTTTGTGTTAAATGAAGGAGTCTGTTTAAGCAGGCTCTATGTTTGAGGAGTGTTTCTGTGTTTACTACTGTAAATGAGGGGTTCTTTTCAGATGATGGAATTTCCATCTGACAACTGTAGTTTTATGATCTGAACCTTAAGGTTGATCTGACAGGAGTGGGGGTTGGCTGTTGTGACTAGGGGTATACTGATAACACTCTAATTATTATCAACACAATTTAATGGAAGTTAGATATACAGACATTGTTAATCAAAGTACGTGACAGTAATAATAGGCCTTGACTTAGTTACAGATATAACCTCATTCTCTATTGAACCACTGTCATCTAAATTTTCTATTGCACAATGAAATTTAAATTAAATGTTTCTGTAAATGACCAGCAAATGGTTTTTTTTTTTTTCAGTTCAAACATTTGGTTTTATTTGTTTATCTATGTTCAAGCAAACCTAACCTTCAAACTGTACTGGAATTTATAAAAGCATTAAGGAATGGGTCTGATCTATGGTAGAGCTAGTGATACACGTACAATGTGATACCAAAGTGAAAGTCAAGTTCCAGCCTGTATCAGCACACTTTACGTTAGTGTATGATTGGACCAATGTTATTAAGGTTGTGTAGTCCTTCAGGCCTTGGATCTTGCAGCTTGTACACCGGTGGATTTAACAAGGATGGGTGTAATGATATTGATTATTCAGTAATCATTGTGATAATAAATGTAACATTCTGTGGTCTTTTATGACTTTATAATAGGACATCTATCATGTATTCTGGCTGTATTGGTTAAACAGGAAACGTGTAGTCCACTCCAGGTGAATTATATTTATGAAACTTTGTGTAGGCTGTAGGAAGTAATTGTGATGGTCACCTACAGCAAGAATACCTGACACAGTCCTGTGATCACAACACAAATACCTGACTCAGTCCTGTGATCACAACACAGATACCTAACTCAGTCCTATGGTCACACCACAGATACCTAACTCAGTCCTGTGGTCATAGCACATATACCTAACTCAGTCCTGTGGTCACAGCACAAATACCTAACTCAGTCCTGTGATCACAACACAGATACCTAACTCAGTCCTGTGATCACAGCACAGATACCTAACTCAGTCCTATGGTCACACCACAGATACCTAACTCAGTCCTGTGGTCATAGCACATGTACCTAACTCAGTCCTGTGGTCACAGCACAAATACCTAACTCAGTCCTGTGATCACAGCACAGATACCTAACTCAGTCCTGTGATCACAGCACAGATACCTAACTCAGTCCTGTGATCACAGCACAGATACCTAACTCAGTCCTATGGTCACAGCACAGATACCTAACTCAGTCCTGTGATCACAGCACAGATACCTAACTCAGTCCTGTGATCACAACACATATACCTGACTCAGTCCTGTGATCACAACACAGATACCTAACTCAGTCCTAACTCAGTCCTGTGATCACAGCACATATACCTAACTCAGTCCTGTGATCACAGCACAGATACCTAACTCAGTCCTGTGATCACAACACAGATACCTAACTCAGTCCTGTGATCACAGCACAGATACCTAACTCAGTCCTAACTCAGTCCTGTGATCACAACACAGATACCTAACTCAGTCCTAACTCAGTCCTGTGATCACAGCACATAGACCTAGCTCAGTCCTGTGATCACAACATAGATACCTAACTCAGTCCTAACTCAGTCCTGTGATCACAGCACAGATACCTAACTCAGTCCTAACTCAGTCCTGTGATCACAACACAGATACCTAACTCAGTCCTAACTCAGTCCTGTGATCACAGCACATAGACCTAGCTCAGTCCTGTGATCACAGCACAGATACCTAACTCAGTCCTGTGATCACAGCACAGATACATGAGTCAGTCCTTTCATTATGTATATTGTTGATTTGAAGTCCTACACGGTACTGTTAACAGGAGGTCCTACATAACATCCAGCTTTGTGATGTTGTCTCTAAGTCCTACATATTATTGTTAACAGGAGGTCCTACAAGACATTGAAGGTATCAAAGAGGACATCACGCGGGTCAAGGAACGAGGACGGCAGATCGTGGAGATGTCAGATCCTGAGGGCTACAAGGCCATGCAAGCGACACTCACCATGCTGTCAGACAGGGTGGAGAGTCTACAAGCCATGGCAGATAATAAGGGCAGACAACTCCAGGTATACATCATTTGTTATATACCTTATGTTATCGATAATTGTTTTTATTTGTTTTTCTACCGAGACTTTTTAATTGTGTTAGTTTAAACTTTGGTAATGTCTTACTGTCACTGTTATCATTCTAACAGAGTGCTGTGAAAGATAAAGAAAAACACAATATCTCATTGAATGCTTACAAAAAACGAGTGAGAGAACTGGAGGACTGGGTAGACGAGATGAAGATTCGACAGTCGACCACACCTCTCCCCTCTGATACTGTTGACTCCCTCAAACACAACCTTCATGAGAACCAGGTAGATATCTAATGAATCTACAGCAGGTTGATATGATATAAATATTCAGTCTGGGATCGAATCCTTATCTGGGCACTAAATGTGCAGAATTTCAGTCTCTTCTCCAGGTAAATAACGTTAAATGATGATAATATAATATTTCAATTTCTGCTTGAGATTAACATCTTATATTTCAGTCACTACAGGATGAGATTAATGACAAACTCCAGACGATATCTGACCTCGCTGTACAGTGTGATAACCTCTGTGAGATGGAGAGTCCGACCAATGCAGAGAAACTGAAATCTCAGCTGACAAATCTGCAGACTCAACTGGGAAATCTCAAACTGACCTCAATAGAGAAACAGGCACCTCTACGGTCCGCCATAAAAGAGAGTGAACGCAGGAAGAAAGAGATGGATGACTATGAAAATAACCTGAAGAAGCTTCAACAGTGGGTGACAGACACTAAGCAGATGACAATGGCTCCCGTTCATGTTGAACCACTCATTATTGGAGAGGACCAGCTGATCTTACAGCAGGTAATCAGAGTCGCTTTGGATTTCAAACTTATCCTGTTCATAATATTATATACACACAAATTCCCAGGATTTGTTAGATTTTCATTGGAGCAATACAGGTCCTATGGGCATCTTATTCAATAAATTCCTCCACCCCCATCACTTATCCCATTCATTTTCTCATTGTAATTTTTTCCAGAATTTATTTACTTTTTAGCAAACGACATGTTTATGATGTTTCGTTTAAATTGTAGAAGCTGAAGTCGGACTTACATGAGCACCGCCAGTTAGTTCGACAGATCTCCAGTGACGCTGCCAGTCACGATACTAGATACTCCCACCAGCCTCTTCCTGATCTCACTGCTATTAACGAGAACGACCTCAAACAGAGGTGGGAGGAGATCAGTTCAGAACTCGCTCAACGCAAGCAAAGTCTAACAGACATGTTACGCAAGAAAGATTCAATGGTAAAAATGATTAGATTGTCAGGTTACCTCCCTTTATATAATTAGTCCTGTGTGAATACGTCATACATGTTATATCTATTCTGGAAACTTGTTTACGTTGACTTTTGTTTGCATTTCATGAATTTTGCAATTGAAAAAATTTTTAAGATATTGTTTTAGTGATGTGATTTGTTGTCAGAAGATATATTTTATTGAGTAAACAGATTATAACTTGTTAGGAAAATATTCAAAGTGGTGTGTCAACTTTCATAGGATGGTGCAAAGGGCTACCCAGGCTGGATGCCAGCTACTGAGGCCAATGGTCAGCTGAAGGACATCCGCCAGAATTTGTCAGAGCTGACCAATCTCTGGGGTCAGTTGCAGACTCAGGTTGAGGACCGACAGGTGCGTCTTGATCAGGCCCTGGAATTCCAGCAAAAGTACCAGGATGCTCTACAGAGCATATCATGTTGGCTTGACCTTGCCGAGAGGAAACTTTTCTCTCCAGACATAGACATGGATGCAGGCCAGCAGGTCCAGAAAAATGAGGTAATGTCACAGAATATAGGTCAATAGGTTAAAGTTTACTTGAAGAATCAAGCATAGCCATTCTACCAGAAAAATGAATTATGTCCCATAGTTTGGTCAGGTAGTGGTTTTAACTATTTCTCATGTGGACAACGGTATTGATTGAAATATGAAAAAGTGACAAATATAGAAAAATGATTTATCAAACAGTGCTGGGAGTTAATATTTAATTCTGTGTTCCAGGCACTGCAGCGTGAGATTAAGCTTCTCCAGAATGAGATTAGTCTGATGGCGCGTACGTCTCAGGACCTGCTGTCATCTGTTAACAAAGAAAGTCAGGGTCTTGTCGAGGAAAGCCTCGCCAACCTCAACAGTCGCATTCAGATCCTAGAAGAGCAGGCTCGTCAACAGGGCGACAAGCTGCGACAGATTGATCGCCAGGCCAAACACTATCAGGTACACTACATACATCCTCACTTTTATCTGTGTGTCTGGTGAGACATTATCAGTACCCTCTTCTGTTCATTGTAACGTTATAGAATCTTCCACAAGCATTGATCCAAAAGTAAGCATGGAACATTTGTAAATTGTTTCAAGTTTTCAGTTTTGAAATTACTTTTTGTTGGTTTTACTTCGCAAAGATAAGTATAACCAGAATTATTCCAATCATTCTTTTCTGTATTTATATATAATGTACTAGCTCTTAACCTGTTCTATCATTATTTGACTGTACAGGATGATTTGAGAAATCTACAGAGAAATCTTACTGATATACGCACAGCGATGGTGACCTCTAGTCCTTCTGCTTCTCTGGACCAGCTCATATCTAATATGCAGGTTGGTGGTTAAAAGGTTTATTTTTTACAATTCCTGATATATATTTTAATGTTCAAACAGTGCCCCTACTTATATAGTATTTTATGAAGCTCAGATTCCTTACTATATTTTAACAGTAAGGCATAATAACCTGACTTTTATCTGTGAAACCTGTATAACATTATAATGGTACAATAATGATCTATATATTGTAGGAATCTATACCTATATATATATATCTATATACATATATAATGATTTTTTTGAGATGCAGTGACTTGTAAATATTTCCTATTACTATAGACGACTGAGGCATGCAGACAGATAATGGTAGGGTCACGGTTGTTTTCACCGCCCAACTGCATATTTATACCAAATGCACTAAACAAAAACAGTTTTGCCTATTTGTAATGAAAAATGTGAATCTTAATCCAATTTAATGAAAATATCACTGATTTTGTATATAATTGATATTTTGTAAAATACATGGGGTATTATACAAAATCAGCCACTGTCTGTAAACATCAGATAGTTTATGAGATAAATCGATTAGGTTCTGATTGAAACAGATACTATTTTTGGCATGTGCATTACAATTTGTGACTCCATACATGGAGAATTTCAAGAATTTTCAAAAGACTTTCAGATGGTTTAATGCAGTTTTTGCAGTTTGATAGTTCAACACTTTCTGCAGCTATAAATATCATGTTTTCTGTCCTGTGTGTTCTTTAACTTAACATTTGAATTCCTTCTTTAACAAAGAAAAAAGTTCCATTTGTTTTTTAACAGAAGCCACCTATGACTGATTTCACTGATATGGTATACTTGCACCATCATGTGGGGTGTCCACTTCACTATGTAAACATAACCACAGCCATATGGTGTTTCTTTTTTCATTTTTATTTTTTTTTTTTTTTTTGGCAGATAATTTTAGAATGACATCCCCGTTGATATTTCCATAATATTATCTTTCTTGTCTGAGATACATATTTTTGATGCCTATTGATGTTGATATTTCTACTTCCTGCTTTTAACGAGGTAACTTTTAACCATATGTCAAACATTTATATCACCAACTGATGCTGATTCTACAGAACCTGTTTAAATAAGCCATTGCCATACTCCCCCCCCCCCCCTGTTACTGTTAACCTTCAACAGATTCACATATTTACAAGGCATCAACCCCCTGGGTAGGTTTACTTCCTGTTCAAACCATAATATCACACCATAACATCACACTGCGACATCACATTGTCAAATTCTTCACCTGATTTGATTTTGTTAAAGGTTAAAGGTCAAAGGTCACACTTGAACCCTGTTTGCTTACTTTGCATTGTAAATATTATGGAATGACCTCTCAACACCTTTTATTGTACTATAGAGAAAAAAATGAGACTAGTAATGAATTTCATATTCATCCAGTTATAACCTCAGAAGTCAGAGTCAGAGCGAAAGGTGGGGATATTACTGGAAAATGTAACAGACTTTGTCACGGTTTCTACTGAACAGATATGTTTGTGTTTATACCAGAGAGATTTGTGGATTCTTTCTGGATATTTATGTAAATTGTCAGACAATACCATGGTTATATAAAAAAATTATAAAGTCGAAATAGATAATCCGAATATTTGAGGAGAGCAACATGTAACAGAACAAAAAATTGTTTGTTTTTTCAGATCTGTATAATGGAAGAAAAACATGTGTGTATATTTACTTGTAGTAAATTTACAATCACAAGTGATATTAATTTGTTGCTTTGTTTTATTTTGTCTTCCGCATCAATTAAAATTTGAAATTAAAGAAAAGATTTACTTATCCAGTTTATGACATGAAAAAAAACAATCATCAAACTCACGAAAAAGATGTGTTAGTTTTTAATGTTTGGACCTTTCCTTTGAAGTCAGAATTGGAATATACCGAATATTTCATGATGAAAACAACCAGTCAATGCTGAAGGGGATTAAGAACATTAATTTTCATCAAAATAGGAAGAAAACTGTTATTATGTTTCAGAATAATATTTTTTTGGAACCTCTAAGAGATTTAATGGGAATTGGGCAAAAGACAACACCTGTACAAGCCTTCAATTGTAATTTGTTTTATTCTGTTCCACATTAACACAGATTGCATAGCTGCTTCTGATACACACAGAATTAATTGTAGTTTACATACATCAAATGTTTTGTCACATTTTCACATTTTTTATGATTTGATAATAATTCCTCAGCTATCCATTTTTTTTTCTCAAACAAAAGAATGAAATTCTCTCCTCATTTTCCCCATTTCTTTGTACTGTGATAAAGTGTGTTAACATGTGTTATTCTCACATTACTCCCAACTGGTGATTAAGATTAAATTTTTATTTTATTTATTTATTTATTTTTTTTTTTTTTTTTTTTTAATCAATAAGGAGAAAGTTTAATTACTTATTTATAATAAACATCACTTTTCTGTAACATTGGAAAAGTTGAAACCTCAAAGGAATGAAACTTATTACAGAGTCTTGGTGGTATGTGGCACATTGTATGTTTATAAGATGAGAAAAAAATCACCACTATGTATTAGAAAGACTTTGGAAAATTCCTGTAAAGGGAGTGAACTGTAATGTTGGAACCTGGCGAGATACAGGTGAATTGATAACCTGTATAATCTTGTTCTCCTGTCTTTAAAAGCATTTTGCTAATGATCAGAATATTTCTGCCTTTTAAATTACCTTGGCATTCATCAATATACATGTACAGGTATACAGTTAATATCTTTGATCACAGATAAAAACTAATCTTTATCTGACCGGCATGTTTATATACAAATATCATTGATCAATATTAAAAGGACAGGTATGGCACCCACTTAATCCTTTTACATAATGCTATATATGGTGGGGACTGTTAGGTTTACAGGGTACACCTTGAAGGTACCTGCTGTCAATGTAGGTAAAAATGAGATTAAAAATGTGTGGATCATGAGATAATCAAGTGGGATTTGAAAAAACTGACAATATTCAGTGAAGATTATCAAAACAGAACTGTTCTGTTACTAATCCTTGTAAAGTCACTAAGTCTATAGTCCCACAGCCTGTTATTAGTAAACTTAAACAGAGCTATATACAAGATTTATCTACTGGCACTTTTTTCACAGAGAATCGAGGCACAGATGATAAAATGTGAGAACCAGTTGGAAGAACTAAAGAAGAAAGGACAGGAATTAGGTACACTTGCACCTCAGATGGTCAGCCCAACAGAGCTGAATGCCCTTCAGTCTAGCTACAGAGACCTCAAGCAAAAGGTTTGTCTTTCTGTTCAAAAATCAAAACAGTTTTAAGTGTGTGTAACATAGTTCAGTACAATGTCATTGTGTTAGAGCACAATGTCCCCGTGTCACAGTACAATGTCGCTGTGTTACAGTCCTAAGTCCCTGTATTACAGTCCTATGTCCCTGTATCACAGTCCTAAGTCCCTGTATTACAGTCCTATGTCCCTGTATTACGGTCCTAAGTCCCTGTATTATGGTCCTATGTCCCTGTATTACAGTCCTATGTCCCTGTATTACAGTCCTAAGTCCCTGTATTACAGTCCTATGTCCCTGTATTACAGTCCTATGTCCCTGTATTATGGTCCTATGTCCCTGTATTACAGTCCTATGTCCTTGTATTACAGTCCTATGTCCCTGTATTACAGTCCTAAGTCCCTGTATTATGGTCCTATGTCCCTGTATTACAGTCCTATGTCCTTGTATTACAGTCCTATGTCCCTGTGTTACAATTCTATGTTCCAGTACTGTAGAGCTATGTCCCAATGTTTTAGGTGATGGATAAGAAGGCAGACCTTTTACAGTCGATGTCCGTTCAGGATCAGTATGAGAAGATGTTAATTGACTATGCTGAATTTCTGGAGACTGCTCAGGACAAACTCAAGTCAGACACAATTACAGCAAGGGATTTAGAGAGTCTGAAGCAGCAGCTGGCAGCCCACAAGGTAGGAACCTGTTCACCTCTGTTTTACTTTGAGGAAGGAATAACCTGTATTCATGATTGTAGGAACACAACAGATTTTTGTAACATAAAAAAATATTTCGTTGTGACTCATGTAAAAGAATATAGTGAAGGATTTGAGAGATTTATGAAATCCAATATAAGTCTGAAGCTGTAGCTGCAGTGTGTTTTCACTGGCTCTGGGTTTGTGATCAGAGGTAATTTTTATGAAAAATTTTGCAGGATTTCTTCAGTGACCTTGAGGTTCACCGTGCCATGCTGGATTCACTGGCTACTCAGACTGACCAGGCAACACAGAACAAGCATGCTGCCCAAAACTCCAGACTGACCAATCTAACATATATCATTCAAGACAAGGCCAGTCTCTTTGGACAAAAGCTTGACAGACTGGTCAGACAGTGGACAGAAGTTAATGATAAACATGGACAATTGGAACGTTTCTTGGACACAATTGAGGAAGAAGTTCCTGAACCAGTATCCAAAAGTGACTCTATGGCTACTATTCAAGAGAAAATGGTCACCTACCAACGATTACAACAGGAAATCACGGAGCAGAAACCAATTTTGTACCAGGTGGTTGACAAGGGCAAACAACTCTTACACAGCGTAACTTGTCCAACTCTTGAAAACACAGTGGCTGAGGCAGGGGAGAGATGGGTCACACTCACCACCAATATCTCACATCAACTCAAAAAGTAAAAAGCTGGATCTCTGCTGCTATTTGAAACAGTCAAAATTTGTTTAATTTAATTATTTTTATTCATGCAACAAAAAAGATAAACAAAATATCTTTTTTTTTTTTATCATATTTGAATGCTCTTTGCATTCTATATATTTATAGTGTGTTCATAGTTTCAAGGTTGACTTAAGTGTCATTTGTCACGCTGAAACAAAACAAAATTATATAAAGTATAATAGTATACTCTCCGAAATTATACTCTTAAAATTATAAATTATCAAGAAATGAATTTACCTTTTGAAATGTAACGCAAAATTATGTTGGTTTGTCTTTTTATCTGGCAATTAGACCATGTCTGCTAATAAGCCCATCACATTTATTGTTATTTAGTAGACCAACTAAGCTGTTTTGTTGTCCTGCAATCAGCCCACCCCAGACTTGGAGTAAGCAATATTGTGTTTGCCCCCCTGGCATATTACTGCCTGATATAAACAGTGTACAGATCAATTTCATTTCCAGTGTATACGATTCTGTGGGAATTGAGATTTCTATGTATGATTTCTTTCTTTTAGAACTGAAACACTTGGAGACCAACTACAGGAGTTTGAAGGAGAAGCCACGCTATTTAGATCCTGGCTCAGTACAGCCAAGCTCAAATTGGGTGACATCAAGCATTTGTCTGAGCAAGATCAGCATAGTATCGCGACCATTCGTAGCAAAGTTGATAAACTCTTGGTAAGGTTATTTGAAATAACAAGTTTAAGTGTTTCAGTTTCTTAGTTAAGGTTTACCTACCAGTGAAATGTTGTCAAATTATTTTCTCAATAGAGGTATATGCATTCAGGAAGTATTTTATATCAGATATGATGTTTTAAGTGGGTTATCAATGGTTAACTATGAACTGTTAGTGTATTAAGTCTATGTTTACCTAATCACAGGAGTTCCGTAAGGAAGTGGAGACCCAGATTCCACTAAAGAACAAAATACTATCTGTCGGGAAGCAACTCTCACAGAATGCTTCCTATAGCATGGCTGACTTGGAAACCTGCCTCGCCTGGTTTGAGGATCAGTGGGGACTTCTCCAGCATGACATTGGGAAAGCAGAGGAATACCTCCATACTGCACAAATGGACCTGATGCCATCACGACAGGCTCTGCATGAACTGGGGGCTTGGCTTACCGATATGGAGGGTGCTGTCGCTGACGAAAAACAGCGACCAGTGAAGGACTTGGCCGACATAGATATCCTCCTTAAAAAATTCAAGGTAAATGATATGTAGATATTTTAAGCTCGGTAATTCCATGGTATGAACTACTTATTGAAGTAAATCACAACATGTCTTCTTGTCTTTGTATCATCATAGTTGCCCTGCAGGACATACAGTATCCAGATAACACACTCTGTGTCTCCAGAGTAGGCCCTTGTGGTCTACAGATTGTGTACATCCTATGTTTTCCCTTTCTCATTGGTTTCGTTGCTTAATATTTTCAGGATTTCAAGATCGAACTACAAAACAAACAACTGACAATGGACTTTGTTAACCAGTCAGCACTACAGACAAGTGTTCCAGATGGAGAGGAGGTCCCTATGTCTGCTGACAAAACAGACTTCGCTGAACGACTCGGTCATCTGAACAAACGATGGCAAACGCTAAGCCAGGATGTGTCAGGAAAGCTGAAATCACTGGAGATGATGCACACCAAGTTGATGGAATATAATCGTGCTTTACTCCGACTCCAAGAATGGTTCTGCGACCAGGAGGACAAGGTCAAGAGATACCGACTCATAGGTCACGAAGTTAGTATCCGGCAGACCATCAAGGATTGTAAGGTAGGTCATCAGCAGGGGAGAGGTGATTTATCAGGAGAGTGCAGGTCACATGGTCATTTGTTACAAAGTCTACAAATTACTGTTAGATGTATTCCAATACAATTTCAAATTTAGGACAAGATTTGAATTTATTTAGATTTAATGGGATTCATAACAATAAAGAAAAAAGTAATTCAAATTACCTATACCAAATTTAGAATTACCAATGAATTGACTGCTACTCTGATACTTTACACAGGTATTAGAGCGTACCTTGGCTGGTAAGGAGGGTGACATTCAGAATGTGAAGGAACTGGGTTCACGGTTGGTAAGTCTGAGTGAGGACTCTCCAGAGTGTCAGAGGAACATCAAAGCAAGCATGGACAACCTCGATCAGCAGTGGAACCATCTATCACAGCAAGTAAAGGAGCTGGAATCAACGCTGCTCGACTTCTGTAACCAATGGCAGGCTTACTCCAAGGAGCTGCAGAATACCAACCAAATCCTGTCAGAGACGGACTACTGTCTGGGTCGCTACAACCTTGTGGGCGGGGACATCACTACCCTAAGGATGCAGGTTGACAAACTTAAGGTAAATGTCACCCTGAGTATCTGCACAGATTGTTTTTACTAGGGGCAGTGCACGTTTCTATCACTGCAGTCTTAAATTTGAAATATGTGCACAAGAGACATACATTATAAACATTTTACCTAGAATCTTTTGACTGTTGTCCCTTATCATAAATATATCTGGTCATAAGTTTCTCTTTCTCTCTCTGTATCAAATTTTTATGAAAACTTTTTTCTTCTAAACATTGAAACTTCAAAGGAATTTTAACAACCTAAGTAGATGTGCTTGCACATTTTTTTCTTTTTCTTTTCAAAATTTTGTTTGCTATGGTAACCTGGTTGCATTTTTTTTTGTAAGCCCCATATATTTCATTGAAACTTTGTTAAATAGTGTATATAATTGAAGCTTATGATTTGATGCATTAGGTATTTCCAAACCCATTGCTATGGAAACAATTATAGAGGCTTTTGATGGTAAAATATGACATAAATGATGGGTACCAGTGGTATTAGCTATTGGCTTACAGGTCTAGTTTGGAACCAAAATTTCTGTGCTGGTCCCATGGGCTTTTCAGTGGATAAGTACATTAGTTTTCTTTCTATTGATAATGTATATATGTTTGTTATAAACAGAGTCTTTGTGGAGAGATAGAGAGAAGCACGGCGGGCTATGATCGCTTTGTTACCCTTGGAAACCAGTTAATACAAGTGTGTGAAGCACCAGTTCGCAAGGAAATACAGACAACGCTGTCAGATGTCAGTGGAAAGTAAGTCTCCTTGGCTCTTTTACTATTAAAATACCGTAATTTAATGGTGAAACTTTTCAAATCATATACCTTCTTAAAAACGTTAGATTATAAAGAGATCATTATGAAAACAGATGTTGAAACACTTTGGATATGATTTAGCTGTGTTATTCATTTCATTTGTGATGGTTAAACCCCACATTTACTCATTAAGTTGGGTCTGTAAATGTGTTTTGTGAACTTAATTGATTAACAGTTCCATGGTTTCTTTCTAGATGGCGCCGTACATGTGGAGAGCTCCAGGACCGTAGTGCACGATTTGAGGACTGTCTTCAGCAGTGGCAGCAGTATGAAGAAGAGTACAACTACGCACGGCGTTGGCTCGACACCAAAGAGAGGCAGTGTAATGACCTGGTGGCAGTTCGAGAAGACAGCTCACAGCGTGAAGAATCTCTACAGCAGAGCAAGGTATTGTTGGTCTCAATTTTTAGCTCACCTGGCCCAAAGGGCCGTCATCCATCCGTCCTGCATCTGTCAACTTTTCATATAAACAACTTCTTCTGAAATAACGAAAGGCGTAGAGTTATCATATTTGGCTTGAAGGTTCCTCTATGAAGCCCAACAAAGTTTGCAAAAAGAAATGACCTTGACCCATATTCAAGGTCACAGAGGTCAAATGTCTTAAAACATTTAAACAACCTCTTCCAAAATACCGGAAAGACTAGAATGATCATATTTGGCTGGAAGGTTCCTTTGATGAAGCCCAACAAAGTTTGCAAAAAGAAATTACCTTGACCCATATTCAAGGTCATAGAGGTCAAATGTGTTAAAACCTTTAAACGACTTCTTTCAAAATACCATAAGGTCTAGAATCATTATATTTGGCTGGAAGGTTCTTTTTATAAAGCCCAGCAATGATTGTGAAAAGAAATGACCTTGACCCATATTCAAGGTCACAGGGGTCAAATGTGTTAAACCTTAAAATTTTCTGATGATCCAAAACATCTGGGATAGTGATATTATTCCAAAAATGGTTCTCAATGATGCCCGGTAATATTTGAGAACGGAAATGACCTTGACCCATATGCAAGATCACAACAGTCAAATGTGTTAAACCTTTGAACAACTTCTGATAAAGGCTTAGGATCATAATATTTGTCCAAAAGGTTCCCTTATTGGTGCCCACATTGTGTGTGAAAAAATAGCTTGACCATAATGATATTTAAGGTCTTTGGGGTTAGATTTGGTAAAATAGTTAATCAACTTCTGGTTAACCAAAAACCCATCATATTTGGCCACTAAAGTCTTATATACAAATGACTAATTTTGGACTACTAAGGGACAAAACCCATATGGAGTAATTTGTCATATTGCTTTAAGCTTCTACTGTGGAATATATGCACAGATATTGTACAGTTGGTCATAAAGATTTAGGTGAGCGATACAGGCCCTCTTGGCCTCTTTTTTTTTTTTTTTTTTCAAGGCCAATATTTTCGTAGACATTTGCACCAAACAATTTACTAGACTTGGCCTATATTTTCATAATATATTCTTCACCATAAAATTTCCTGGACTGGGTCTAGCCTTCCTTGTAATGTAATGGCTCTTGAAATTTATGATTTTGATGCTAATTCCATCTATACCTATTTTCCCAGGCACTGCAGCGAGAGCTTGATCATTTCCAGTCACGCCTTGGATCACTCTATCAACTCAGTGACAGCATCACAAAAAACATGGACACCTCATCCATCGTCGGGATCACCTCACGTCAAAATGCCATTGAAGCTCGGGTCATGGCTCTACGTCAACTCCTTGCCAAGCAAGTGAAGCTGCTTCAAGGGGATTTATCACAGAGACAGCGCTTCAAAGAGCTTTTTGCATCTATGACTGCATTCCTTGATGAAGCTGAACACACCCTTGCTGTAGAAGAGCCTCCAAGTTCATCAGAGGACCTGGCACTTCAGAAAAGATATAATGAGATAAAATACCTCACACTCCAATTCAATAACAACATGTCTCAGCTAGACGCACTCAATGACCTGGGATACAGAATGGCTCTGAGTGAGGAGAGTTCAGTGGCACTTCGGGAACTGAACCACAGATTTCAGAGACTTTACAGTGAGACAAAAGAACAGAACAAGACACTCCAAGGTGTCATACTGATTCAGCAGGACTTCACAGAAAAGTGTGATGCCTGGATGACATTCCTTGCTCAGACAGAACAGGACTTGTCCACAGAGATTGCTGGTAACCTTGCTGATCTGACTGATCAACAAAGGAATTGTGAGGTAAAGTTCATCAGATATTTTGCTGACTTTTTGTATTTTTAGCTCACCTGGTCTGAAGGACATGCCATGGCTCAGCATCCATCATCTGTCAACTTTTGACCAAAAGTTGCTACTAGTCATGATAACTGAACAGATTTTGACCTAAATGTGGTCAAAAGCATCCATTGAGGAAGGGGAACCAAGTTTGTATAAATATTGTTTCTCAGCCCCCACAAGCTTGACGGGCGGGGCCCAAAAGAGGAAATTTTGTAAGTTCTATATTGCCCAAATTTTGTCAGAAGCAAGTCTTGGTGAAGGGGAAGCAATCTTATATAGATGTTCAGTCTCGTCTCCATGGAATGGGAAAGGTGGGGGCCCAGTAGGGGAAATATAATAAGTTGGGAAGGCTTGGGGCTGAGTAGGGGAAATATAAGTTCTTTAAAAAATCCTACTGCTCCTGTAAGAATGGTTTGATTTTGCCCAAATTTGGTCTTAAGTATTCTTAGATGATTAGAAATCAGTTCTGTAGAAACAGTGGACTCCGGCCTCCAGGGGCAGCAGGTGTGTGGCCCAAGAGGGAAAATAGAGCAAATTCTTGAAAATTCTACTGTTCCGGTAGGAATGATTGGATTTTGCCCAAATTTGGTCTGAAGGATTCTGAGGTAAAGAGGAATCAGTTCTTTATATATGAGGGATGCCATCCCCCTTGAGCTGGAGGGATTTGGCACGATTGGGGAAATGTAAGTTCTTAAAAAACCCTATTTTGTTCAAGTCCAAGTTTGGTCTGAAGCAGTTTTTATGAATTGTCAATCTGACTTTCTCGTTTGACCACAAGGTAGGGCCCACATAAGGAATTTATTTCAGAAAGTATTTGTCATATTTGAAATTCTTTGTTAAATGACTGAATTAGCCATTGGAACGATGCAGGTCCCATGGGCCTCTTATTATTTATGCAGCAATTAAAATTTTATTTAAGATAGCAGCTATATGTCTTTATACTGTTATATCTCTTGTCTTTTTTAACATATACATTTTCTTTTTTTCCATCTATAGAGTTATAGAGGAAAACAAAAAACAAAAAAATTATCTTGTCATCTACCTTCGGAAGAAAAACGTAACAGACAGATGGCAAACACTCTAAGTAGATCTTTTCTGATTTTACATCTGACATGAATACTAGTTATTTTACATCTGACATGAATACTAGTTGTTTTACATCTGACATGAATACTAGTTGTTTTACCTCTGAAAGGAATACTAGATATTTTACATCTGACATGAATACTAGTTATTTTACATCTGACATGAATACTAGTTATTTTACATCTGACATGAATACTAGTTATTTTACATCTGACACGAATACTAGTTCTTGATTATCAATTACTGATGCTCGTATAATTACAATGTTGTTCATTACTTTTACAGAAGTTTGAGTCGGACATGTACACCAAACAACAGATCTTACACGCCATTATCAGTGATGGACAGAAAATGATGAAGGAAGGAAAAGTAGAAGACAAAGAAGAGTTCCAACAAAAGCTGCACCTGCTGGCTGAACAGTGGCAGAGTGTGGTACGACGAGCCAATCAGAGGAAAGCTATCATAGACAATACAATCAAACAGTGGCAAGCCTTCAACGATTTGACAGAACGACTTCGTGATTGGCTGACAGAAAAAGAATTTGGAATGAAGGCTTTCGAGGTTGACTTAGTATCATTACAGAAAATCAAAAATCTACTGGACAAAGCCAGAGTAAGTAAACAGATTACTCATTACCCATGTATAGTGACAGAGGCATCGATAAACCTGTCTGTTTTGTGTGTAATCTTGATTCATGATAGAAATATATACCAATACCTTGGCTGAAGTAAAATATTATGAAAATGAGATCCAATGTCAGTGTGTCCTAGATTTAATGAAGGTCGGCATTCTTCTGAAGATGTATCCATGTTGAAATACAGAGTCTGGATCAGGATAATCGCCAATAAATCAAGTTGACATCTTCTGACAGATGTTGTCAAGTGATCTATTATGTTAAAGTCAAATATTGATAATACTAATGAAATTTATGGATCTGACATGAATGCAACCTGCAAGTACAAAGTAACACATCTGTTTACATCTAACCAATTTAGTACAAAATAACACATCAGTTTACATCTAACCAATTTAGTACAAAATAACACATCAGTTTACATCTAACCAATTTAGTACAAAATAACACATCTGTTTACATCTAACCAATTTAGTACAAAATAACACATCAGTTTACATGGCCTAACCAATTTAGTATAAAATAAACAAGTACACATGAATATTATCAATTTAGTATAAAATAACAGTGATATAAGGTTTGTTTACATCTAACCAATTTAGTACAAAATAACACATCAGTTTACATCTAACCAATTTAGTACAAAGTAACACATCAGTTTACATCTAACCAATTTAGTACAAAGTAACACATCAGTTTACATCTAACCAATTTAGTACAAAATAACACAAAATTCTAATTTTTGTTTTACACAGCACACACAGTACAAAATAACACACGGAGTTCAAGAACACATGACTATTATCAAGTAAAGGATGTGCTGCTTATACACTGTTAGTAAAAGCTACCCTAAAATTCTAATTTTTGTTTTACACAGCACACACAGACGGAGTTCCGACTACAAGAGGATGTGCTGAAGAAGATTCAGGACCAAAGTAAAGTATTGTTACTACGAGCAGATTCTGACGCCACTGATGAGCTGAAAGTTTGCACAGCACAGCTGCAACAATACTGGCACCAATTGAGCAGCTGCCTAGAGGACCATTGTCAGAGACTAGAGGCAGTACTCAAACAGTGGCAGGAGTGCGAGGGGGACATTGAGGACATCCTCAGCTGGCTGAAAGACACAAGACACAAACTGGCTGCAGAGCTCCCTACTGCCTACGACAAACTGCAGTTCGAGTTACACAGGTGCAAGGTAGGAAGAATGCCTCAATTTTTACATTATTTTAGTTTGAAATCTGTTTTGATAACCACATATTATCTATTGTGTCTCAAGAGTTACTCTGTGAAGATAGATGATATATCACTGAGTCAATTGAAAAGTCAATTGTTGTCTCCAGGGTTACTATTTGAAGTTAGGTGATATATCATTGAGTCAGTTGAGAAGTCAATTGCTGTCTCTCTTGTATAGAGATCCAGGGTCAAATTTTAAGCTAAAGAATAAAATACCAGTTATATATGTAATATAATACTTGCTACCATTGTTATTCATTATCAATTAATATATACATTGATATATATGTAATTTGTCACAAATTAATACACATGGATGAAATTTACTTGGTCAAATGACTTTTGAATTTATTGTAAATTTCTCCCACACATGAATTTTCATGTTTATAGTAATGTATTGCTGGTAACAAATTCACATTAACTACCACAGAATGAATTTTCATTATGTACAAACTTCTGCAGGATATAGAGGCGGAGTTTACCAATGCTGAGATCAAACGCGATGCACTGTTAGCAAAGGAGAGGAGACTTGGGGAAGTCATTCAACCGGATGACCTTAATGTCCTCCATCAAAGAGTCAGACTACTCAATAAACAGTGGGACGAACTCCGTAACCAGGCAGCACTCCGTGCACAGCGTATTAACGACAACATGTTCCGATGGTCAACCTTTAACGAACGTGTCCATGACCTCATGGAATGGATTGATCAGATGGAGGTCAAGGTCATCTCTTCAAAGGAGTATCATATAGAGGACTTGCTAACAAAGATGCAGAAGGTAAAGATATTTTGGGTAAATTTCAGGTTATGTAGATGTAGAATGAATATACCTACAGAAGATTTTAGGAGGCTTAGGTCAAAGTCACCCTTTGTATTGATAGAAAAGCAGATGATGATGATTTGCAAGGGAGCAGTGACATTGATGTCCTAGAAGTGTTCCTTGTTAGCTGTATAAAGAAAAAGTACAGGTTATGAAGGTGTCAGAGATAAAAATTCAATGTGAAATCAATATGTTAATGTCTAGCTGATATATATATATATATATAAATTTGTGTATGTGTACATTTCTTGCCGCTAAAGGATATGACTGCAAAGGTTTGTCAGGTTCACAAGTACATTGTGTTGTTACTTTCTATCTATATTACTTCAATAAACTTCTTTATTTCAATATCATAGACAACAATAGTGTCTACACAATCTCTAGTCTGTGGAACATCATTACACATCAGTGTTTAGTTTCTGTTATATCACTACACATCCATGTTTACTCTATGATATGTCATTACACATCAATGTTTAGTCTGTGTTATATCATTACACATCAGTGTTTAGTCTGTGGAACATCACTACACATCAGTGTTTAGTCTGTGGTACATCACTACACATCAGTGTTTAGTTTGTGGTACATCATTACACATCAGTGTTTAGTCTATGATATATCATTACACATCAATGTTTAGTCTGTGATATATCATTACACATCAATGTTTAGTCTGTGATATATCACTACACATCAATGTTTAGTCTGTGTTATATCACTACACATCAGTGTTTAGTTTGTGGTACATCACTACACATCAGTGTTTAGTCTATGATATATCACTACACATCAGTGTTTAGTCTGTGGAACATCACTACACATATGTGTTTAGTCTGTGGTACATCACTACACATCAGTGTTTAGTCTATGATATATCACTACACATCCATGTTTACTCTGTGATATGTCATTACACATCAGTGTTTAGTCTGTGGTACATCACTACACATCAGTGTTTAGTCTATGATATATCACTACACATCCATGTTTACTCTATGATATGTCATTACACATCAGTGTTTAGTCTGTGGTACATCACTACACATCAGTGTTTAGTCTGTGATATATCACTACACATCAGTGTTTAGTCTGTGATATATCACTACACATCAGTGTTTAGTCTGTGATATATCACTACACATCAGTGTTTAGTCTGTGGAACATCATTACACATCAATGTTTAGTCTGTGATACATCACTACACATCAGTGTTTAGTCTGTGATATATCACTACACATCAGTGTTTAGTCTGTGATATATCACTACACATCAGTGTTTAGTCTCTGATATGTCATTACACATCATTGAGAAAGTCTGTGGTACATCACTACACATCAGTGTTTAGTCTGTGATATATCACTACACATCAGTGTTTAGTCTGTGATATATCACTACACATCAGTGTTTAGTCTGTGATATATCACTACACATCAGTGTTTAGTCTGTGTTATATCATTACACATCAGTGTTTAGTCTGTGATATGTCACTACACATCAGTGTTTAGTCTGTGATATGTCATTACACATCCGTGTTTAGTCTGTGATATGTCATTACACATCAGTGTTTAGTCTGTGATATATCACTACACATCAGTGTTTAGTCTGTGATATGTCACTACACATCAGTGTTTAGTCTGTGATGTATCACTACACATCAGTGTTTAGTCTGTGATATATCACTACACATTAGTGTTTAGTCTATGATATGTCACTACACATCAGTGTTTAGTCTGTGATATGTCCTTACACATCATTGAGAAAGTCTGTGGTACATCACTACACATCAGTGTTTAGTCTGTGATATATCACTACACATCAGTGTTTAGTCTGTGATATATCACTACACATCAGTGTTTAGTCTGTGGAACATCATTACACATCAGTGTTTAGTCTGTGATATATCACTACACATCAGTGTTTAGTCTGTGGTACATCATTACACATCAGTGTTTAGTCTATGGTACATCATTACACATCAGTGTTTAGTCTGTGATATAACACTACACATCAATGTTTAGTCTGTGATATATCACTACACATCAGTGTTTACTCTGTGATATATCACTACACATCAGTGTTTAGTCTCTGATATATCACTACACATCAGTGTTTAGTCTGTGGAACATCACTACACATCAGTGTTTAGTCTGTGATATATCACTACACATCAGTGTTTAGTCTGTGATATATCACTACACATCAGTGTTTAGTCTGTGATATATCACTACACATCAGTGTTTAGTCTGTGATATATCACTACACATCAGTGTTTAGTCTGTGATATATCACTACACATCAGTGTTTAGTCTGTGGTACATCATTACACATCAGTGTTTAGTCTATGGTACATCATTACACATCAATGTTTAGTCTGTGATATGTCATTACACATCAGTGTTTAGTCTGTGATATATCACTACACATCAGTGTTTAGTCTGTGATATATCACTACACATCAGTGTTTAGTCTGTGATATATCACTACACATCAATGTTTAGTCTGTGATATATCACTACACATCAATGTTTAGTCTGTGATATGTCACTACACATCAGTGTTTACTCTGTGATATGTCACTACACATCAGTGTTTACTCTGTGATATGTCACTACACATCAGTGTTTACTCTGTGATACATCACTACACATCAGTGTTTAGTCTGTGATATGTCATTATTCGTGATTAGTTCACTATCATTGAAAGCTGTTGTAAATTTAATAATCAATCAAATTATAAGTTTAAATCATATTTTTTTACAGTTTGTTTTTCTTGTGTTTCATTTTATCTTGTGGATTTCTTTCCTCTTTTCATGAATATTTTTTGTTTTGATAATTATTATATAAAGATACAAAAATAACTCTCCTGGTAACTTGAAAATGACCCTGGAAGAGACCAAACTTCTGTGGTTTTTTTATTGCACAAATTCCATTTTCTGTAAGGGACTAGAAACTTAAGTGAATTTCATTGGCTAGGACTTCCGAGAGGAAATGGCTGACAGAGAAAGAGACAAAATTCGGCTTGTTGAACAAGGAAGGGAGCTAATGAAGGTCAGCAGTGAGGTGCGGTCCTCGGACATCGACAATAGGATACAGCGACTGGAGGAAAAATGGCAGCATCTCAGCTCTGTACTAAGCTTCAGGTAAACATCCTTCTTTATCAAATGGATGTCAGTACTTTGTCAGATTGATGTCAGTTTCACTATTTATCAGATGGATGTCAGTGTCAGTACTTTGTCAGATTGATGTCAGTTTCACTATTTATCAGATGGATGTCAGTGTCAGTACTTTGTCAGATTGATGTCAGTTTCACTATTCATCAGATGGATGTCAGTGTCAGTATTTTGTCAGATTGATGTCAATTTCACTATTCATCAGATGAATGTAAGTTTCACTATCAAAGGAATGTCAGTTTCACTATCAGATAGGTGTCAGTTTCAGCTCTTTATCAAATGAATGTTGATTGGTCAGTTTTCAGAGTGGGTCTGTAGACAAGGATGATATTTCATATAATGAATGATGTCCTTAAAGTCGGGTTTCTACATTGTGTGTTTTTTTGGGTACAGACAGAGGAAGTTACAAGAGACACTGTTAGCAGTGCAGCAGCTGGACCTTAGTATGGCCAACCTTCGCAAGTGGCTCTCAAACATGGAGCATGACCTTAGTGGACCTATCATCTATGAAGTGTGTAACCGCAAGGAAATCCAGGAGAAGCTTGGTGAACAACAGGTAAAGGACTGAATGACCTTTATATGGTTTAGTGTAAATTGGCCATGTTTTACCTTGGTACCAAATACTGTAACTTTTATAATACATACAGAGCAGTGACTCAGTATAACTTCCAGTAGATACCTGTACTATTTGTTTCGGCAATGCTAACAGGATTAATGAAGGACACTGTTTTATATAAAGATGTGACCTGTTGTGCTGTGGAAGAATATGTTTGTATTAAATGGTTGGTATGTTTCAGGAGTTACAGTCAGATATAGAACATCATAGTGCTGGTGTAGGATCTGTCCTCAACTTGTGTGAGGTTCTCCTGCATGACACAGATGCATGTCCATCTGAGGTTGAATTCAATGCCCTCCAGACTGCTATGAAAAACCTGGACAGGAGATGGCGCATGATTTGTCAGCAGTCACCAGCACGACGTGCAAAGTAATTACTGTTTTCTAAAATCAGCTTTCAGTTTCACAGCTTGGTGCAGTTTACATAGGTCTTTAAGGCTTGTGTGTGTTATGTGTAGCAAACAACTCTGGTATGGACACAAGCAATAGACAGAAGGCAAACAGGCCATAATATAAGTATCACTTTATAGCCCACCATCTGACGATGATGGGCTGTTCAAATCACCCTGCGTCCGTGGTCCATGATCCTTACATCTATCGTTCATATACAATTTTTGTTATTGCTATTTCTTGAGAAGTCCTGGATGGATCTCACTCAAATGTCATTTGAAGGTTTCTAGTTGTGGCTATTTCATTTTGGAACTGATAAAAAAACAACATGGACGACAGGTGGCCATGTTGGAAATTTTCAATAAAGATTGTTTTCACTATTTCTTTAAAAGTTCAAGATGGATCTCTTTCAGATGTCATATGCAGGTTCCCCTTGGTCTCTTGTTGAGCTCATCTAATTTTGGGACTGATCAGAAAAACAAAATGGCCGACAGATGGCCATCTTTGATTTTAGCTTTGCAAGTTTGTTATCAATATTTCTTGAGAAGTACTCAATAAATCTTTCTGAAATCTCATATGTAGGTTCCCCTTTGTCAGTAGTTGTGCCCTTTTGATTTTAGGTCTGATCAGAAAAACAAAATGTCAGACAGACGGCCATCATAGATTTTGACTTTGAAAGTATGTTATCACTATTTCTTGAGAACTAAAGTATAAATCTTTTTCAAATTTCATATGTGTGTTTCTCTTGATCTCTATTTGTGCCTGTTTGATATTGGTGTCAATCAGAATAAAACAAAATGGCCCACAAGTGGCCATCTTGGATTTTGACTTCAAAAGTTTGCTATCACTATTTCTTGAGAACTACTATATAGATCTTTTTCAAATTTCATGTAAAAATTCTTTTTGGTCCCTTGTTGTGCCTAGTTTGGAACTAATCAGCCTTGTAAAGATTGTTATCCCTCTTTCTTAAGTACTGAATTGATATTTCTCAAATTTCATATGTATGTTCCCTTTGGTCTCTTCTTGTGCCTGTTTCATTTCTGTACTGATCAAAAGAAACAAATATCTTCCAGGTGACATTTTTAATTTGGCAGGTAAAAATTATTATTGCTATTTCTGCAAAGGAACATCCAAATGTCTTATCAATAAGAGCATAAACAGAGAAGAGAAAAGAAGGGAAAATATCCCACTTTCAATGAGCAATAAAAAGATCAAACAATGGTGTATGCTACGCTCCCTCAGGGATCTCTTGTCAAGTATGTTTCTACAGTGGGACTGGGATGGGTATTTACCCAGGGATAAAATCAAAAATCTTTTGGCACCAAGTTCAGTCCCACTCGTGGGATTTAATTCCTGCAATATCTCTAGGGAGGTACAGAAGTGCCTGTACCTCTATCAGCCACCAAGTCTCACATACCAGTATAGGGACTTGTCAGTTTCACTTATTTCTGATCTTTGTGACAGGATTGAGGAGACATGGGAGTTGTGGCAGGCCCTACTTGAGGACTTCAAACTGTTTGATGATTGGCTAACAGATATTGAACAAGAGGTCATTGGATCACCTCGCGACCAGTTAGATGTCAGTCTTACCAAAGAGGAAGTGAAACACTTTGAGGTAAGAAGCTATGGAAATGGAGAACTTTAGGGAATACCCAATAAATGCTATCTTGCAGTGTAGATACAATTTTGTGGGGTTAGAAAGTCTAATATGTAAAAAAATTTCAAACTTTTTTCATAAGAGTATATTTCTTAGAGGATGGGACATTAAGTATGTGTGGTACATTTTATTTCCTCTTTAACAGAATCTACAGAAAAGAGTCCATGAAAAACTACCCAGTTTGGAAAGCATCAATCGTCGGTATCGCCGTCTCGCACGAGAGGGTCGCACTGATCATTCTAACCACCTCAAACGGGAAATGCAAGACGCAAACAATCGGTGGGACAAGCTCCAGCAGTGTGTGTCGACAATGACCCGTCAACTCAAACAGTCGTCGACTCTACGCCAGGACTTCACCTTGGTACGCGATGACCTGTACACCTGGCTCAACGACATTGACATGCAGCTTACCAATATTGAACACTTGTTATCAATGGATACACCAACAAAGATGGCAGAAACAAGGGTAAGTATCTGGGCGGAGAATTCTGTGATCCTAGCAATGGAGGAAAGGGTGACAAAATGAAGAAATGATATTATATTTGAACAGAGTTTTGCATAAGAAGCAGGCAAAGTTGAGTGAAAGTATTTGATGTTTTACATGATTATTTTGGTTGATAAATAACATGCTACGGGTTTATGTTATAAGTGTTGTCAGGTTCTCAGATCTTGTCAAGTCAATGTTACTAGTCAGGGGTCTTTTGGGAGATGGGAGCTTACCTCTATCTATAAAAAAACATTCTACTGACAGAGACTTCAGGACGAGATAGATGGAAAGAAGCCACGACTGGATTACCTAGACCAGTCTGCACTCTATCTCATACAGAAAGGTGACAGTGTAGATGCAGCCCTCGTCCAGAAAGAACTGGACGACTTCAAGATTTATTCTCGAAAGGTGTTTGACCGTATCAACAAGTATCAGGAAAAGTTACGTCGTATTGCCGATGCTCAGGTACGTAGTGATCATAATTTGTACCACAAACCTGCTTATCTGTTGTAGTTCTCACTAAAACTTTTGTGTGCAAATATTACAAGGCCCATGTAAATGGGAGACAAGAAAGGTTCTCCTTTACTGTTCAGTTTTAAAATTAATATGGAGCAACCCTCCTATTATCATAGACCTATGGAGTTTTCTCATACCCAAGGACTTTGACCTGTTTTCAGTTCTTTATGACTTTTTTTGTCAGGAGGAAGAAAAGATGAAAGCTGACCAACAGATCCGTGAAGGTGTAGATGAAATTGATTTGTTGGAACGTCAGTTAAAGGCTCCAGACAGCCTGGACTGGGACATGCAGGAACTGGAAGCATACCTTGAGGCCTCACCCCCAGAGAGTCCACCAGAAAAGCGACGAGCCGCAGGGCAGGGAATTCTACAGCAGCGCCCTCTGTCACCAGTCAGAGCATCAAGGTCACAGAGGTCAAGGTCACCTACAAGATCATCTTCACCACTCAGAACATCATCACCATCCTCCAGAGGACGCTCACCGTTCCGAGAAAAGTCTCCCAGCCGCTACGCTAATAGGTCTCCTATCAGATCGCCTCGTGTAGGCTCACCTAGCCGGTCAGAGACAAGCTTCACAGGTCAGCTGTCAATCTCTTCAAGTATTAGTACTTGGAGAAAAAAATTCCAGATTTAATTTTTATTTTAGTTATCATTTCATGATAACTAGGTTTGACTTGAATTATTTTGTTTGTTAAACCATTGATGTAGATATTACTATAAACAACCCTATAATATTTCATAAAGAAATCCTGTAAAGAGGACAAGATGAGGGCTTACGTTAAAATAGATACAATATTGCTTATTCACAGGCCTCTCCAGAGATGAGAGAAAGAAGCGTATGAGAGAGGAGCTCAGCCTGAGAAGTAGAGAATCCAAAGTTGAATCCTTACTTGAGAATCTGGTGGATGCTTTAGAGGATGCCAAACACAAGTTGCGGGTGGCAGAACGGGAAATGAGATGTTCCACCCCTACGGGCCCTGGAATCGATCACAGTGCAGCAGACTATGTAAGTCATTTAATGTTCAACTGGTTTTTAAAATTTTTTTTGGTCTCACAAGGAATATTTTATGAAAACTAATAAACTTCTGAATATTTTGGAGATGGGTTAGCAAGATTAACTATGTTCTGATGTATCTGTAGGGTCAAACCATGTCTGAATGTGAGCAGAGCGTGGACACTGTCCGACGGCTTGACCGACTAGCAAAGTCAGAAACTGGTCTTTCTGTAATACCCACTGCCGATGAGGAAGTTAGAAGTAAGTATCTACCAGTGAATCGTTTGATTAAAACTTTATTGTGACCGTAGATCCGAGGATTCTTCAATGTTTTTGTATAATAGAAGGCTGGATGATATAAACAATAACATATTTAACTAAGAAGAAAGAAAATCAAGGCAATTTAAGAAGATATGAACTGTTGAAGTTTACAATGAATACAAACTGTATATTTGATACAATCTGCCAACAGACGTGCTGCAGCGCTGGGAGAGGCTACAAGCTCAGGCTATAGAGAAGGATTACCGTCTGTCACAGCACCGTCAGGACTGGGGTCAATTCCGAACAGACCTTGACAACATGCTCACCTGGCTGGACAATGCAGAAGCCATGCAGTCTGGACATTCTCGTCTCCCTGATGATATTGTCCAGCTTGACTCCATCATCAGACAACACAAGGTAAGCACAATCTTCATATCATTTTATCTCCTTATTTGAACACAGAGGTTTTAAAAAAAATCCATGATTTTTTAACAGCAAGGCCATAAAATATAAAGGGAGGTCTTGTAATCCAAACCAAGATCTAACAATGTACAACAAAACCTCATGATAACATCCTATGTCCTGTTATAGCATCCTATGTCCTGTTATAGCATCCTAGGTCCTGTTATAGCATCCTAGGTCCTGTTACAGCATCCTATATCCTGTTATAGCATCCTAGGTCCTGTTATAGCATCCTATATCCTGTTATAGCATCCTAGGTCCTGTTATAGCATCTAATGTCCTGTTATAACATCCTAGGTCCTGTTATAGCATCCTATGTCCTGTTATAGCATCCTAGGTCCTGTTATAGCATCCTATATCCTGTTATAGCCTCCTAGGTCCTGTTATAGCATCTTATGTCCTGTTGTAGCATCCTAGGTCCTGTTATAGCATCCTATGCCCTGTTATAGCATCCTATGTCCTTTTATAGCATCCTAGGTCCTGTTATAGCATCATATGTCCTGTTATAACATCATAGGTCCTGTTATAGCATCCTAGGTCCTGTTATAGCATCCTATATCCTGTTATAGCATCATATGTCTTGTTATAATATCATAGGTTCTGTTATAGCATCCTAGGTACTGTTATAGCATCCTGGGTCCAGTTATAGCATCCTATGTCCTGTTATAGCATCCTATGTCCTGTTATAGCATCCTATGTCCTATGATAGCATCCTATGTCCTATGATACCATCCTATATCCTATGATAGCATCCTATATCCTGTGATAGCATCCTATGACCTGTGATACCATCCTTATCCTTTGATAGCATCATATATCCTGTTATAACATCCTATGTCCTGTTATAGCATCCTATGTCCTATGATAGCATCCTATATCCTATGATAGCATCCTATGTCCTATGATAGCATCCTATATCCTATGATAGCATCCTATATCCTGTGATAGCATCCTATGACCTGTGATACCATCCTATATCCTTTGATAGCATCCTATATCCTGTGATAGCATCCTATGTCCTGTGATAGCATCTTATGTCCTATGATAGCATCCTATGTCCTGTGATAGCATTCTTGGTCCTATGATAGCATCCTATGTCCTGTTATAGCATCCTAAAAATGATTTTTATTCAATCTTATTTTTTCCCTAAATGTGAAACCAATTTTCATAATGCAGTAAGAGTAGCTACATGCCTTTACAAAAAAAATTACATGATATCAACATTTCACTTTTTAGGTGTTGTCAAATAATAGCAATATTAAACTATTTTGGAGATCTTGCTGTAAAACATCCTACTGTTAATTAGTGATAATGACTGATTGTGTAGCAGACTAAGTGATGTTTGTATGGATCTGCTAACACTGAATCTTACACCTGTTTATTTTTCAGGATGTCTCTTTAGATCCTATGAAAGTAGAGGTATTGAAATCCAGATCGTAGCTTTTTTCTTTCTGGTAGTCATCTGAGATTTCTTCTATCCCCAAGTTTGGCTTTTTACCTAACTATTTAACCAGGAGGTTGTTGATTTAGTGCAGCTTAGTGTTGTATGCTGGCTTCCTCATGGTTTCAGTCTTATCACTGAGTTTTAGGTCGGTGTGTAGTGAACAAGTCATGTGTGTAGTGAACAAGACATGTGTGTAGTGAACAAGCCATGTGTGTAGTGAACAAGCCATGTGTGTAGTGAACAAGCCATGTGTGTAGTGAACAAGTCATGTGTGTAGCGAACAATTCATGTGTGTAGCGAACAATTCATGTGTGTAGTGAACAAGTCATGTGTGTAGTGAACAAGCCATGTGTGTAGTGAACAAGTCATGTGTGTAGTGAACAAGCCATGTGTGTAGTGAACAAGTCATGTGTGTAGTGAACAAGCCATGTGTGTAGTGAACAAGCCATGTGTGTAGTGAACAAGTCATGTGTGTAGTGAACAAGCCATGTGTGTAGTGAACAAGCCATGTGTGTAGTGAACAAGCCATGTGTGTAGTGAACAAGTCATGTGTGTAGTGAACAAGTCAAGTGTGTAGCGAACAATTCATGTGTGTAGTGAACAATTCATGTGTGTATTGAACAAGCCATGTGTGTAGTGAACAAGTCATGTGTGTAGTGAACAAGTTTTGAGACTCCAGCAGTATAATGGGGACATGTTTTAATACACACATAAAAACATGTTTCAGAAAATAGATATTAGATGTGGTTTATTTTCCTTCATGTTCTGTTTGTCCATTACCTAGCAGATAGATATGTACCAAAATTTTTTAGTTCGTTCCAAAATTTTGATAATAGTTCTTTCAAAAATGACATACTCAGTATTTCTTCACATCCTTACATCAAATGCCACACCTGTTTATATAGTTGTTTCCACAACTCGTCAAAATGTTAAAGAAAGCAATTCAATACAAAAACATTGTTAGTCTTACTTTTCTATAATATTTTTGTAATATAATCCAGAGGGACTGTTTCTCTGTATCATAACATGATTTCCTGAAACTAACTAACATTGCAGTATTACGCTGATCTTGTAGTCACATTGGTGTAGTAACTTCTCAGAATACTAACTGCATGTTTGATTTGATTAAATAGACGTAAATTTACAGCGGTACTGACGCCAGGATTTGTTGACAGTTCATTCTTATCAGCTGGAGTGCTTTTACTTTTGGAAATTTGGATGTTTGTGAATGATTTTTGTGATTAATATTTGTGTACACAGCTTGCTATGGTTTGATTTCATGGTCTTGACTTGTAATGAAACCTCGGGATCATAAAATGATACCAAACATACGACAGATATATGTATCAACATAGGGCCACACCCCTTTAAACTCAATGTCCTTTTTAGCTTCCTTAAAGCTCCATAATGACATAACAAATGTGTTTTAGTAGGTCAGCTAGCCTAGGGTAAGACTAGTGGTCATCTCTCCTACCGGGATATTGGTCGTCACATGAAACCAATTGGTCAGTCTGGTAGGAGAAGTTAGTGCAAAGGAACTGTTGTATAAGAAATCTTTGAGGAGAAGGGAATAAATTTTTCTGATAAAATGTGTCTTTATTGGCACCTGAAACAAAGCTCAACAGGAGAAATAAATACTGGGACTATCTATATAGGCTAGGTACCTCCACAACATCTACAGCTTCACATTATGCCATTCCAAACTGTGCCCATAAAATATAAACATGATCACATGTACCTGAATACAGCCATTGAAATTTCATCTTGGAGTGATCTTAACTTTGTAGAAGACCAAACAACTTTCACACATTTATGAACAAATGTGTACAAAAACCCAGATATGTTTTTTAACTTTAAATCAATCTGACATTTGACCTTGACCTACGACCTTGTATATTAACATGACATTTTTTAAACTGTAAGTCTACAGAAATAGAAATGTATGACCTATGGCCTTGACATTTGACCTTCACTTAAATGAACTCTTCATGCTTACTTACAAGTATACGCAGTGTGGTACATATTAAATTCTCTGAAGACAGAGATGTAAGTTTAAATAGTTTCTTAGATAACATAATGTGTATCCATACTTACCCATTCTCTCCCCCCTTATCTGTGCTTTATAATCCCAGTTTTTTTTATACATTGTCCTCATTTCTCTCTCCTGTATTTTGTTCTATTAATGATTTTATCTCTATTTGTGTTCACTAGAAAATCAATATTGTCCATAACAGATGTTAATTTAGATGTTAAGTGTTATATATCCTGGTACATGTTTGTTTCTATGTAAGAAAAACTGAATCTTGATGTGATTGTATTATAAATCAGACACTGATATCCCAGCTTCAGACTTGGATCCTGTTCTATCAACTGACAGTAATCTATGTTTCTTTTTTAATTTTATTCTTTTTAACTTTAACCATGTATTTTTTTTTTCTTTTTACAGGACTTTTTAGTTCAGCTAGAATCAAAGAAAACTAGAGTGCTTTCAATCAATCTCATCAGTAAAAACTTCATAGACATTCGTACTGACGAAGGTCGTTTGCTGAAGGACAAATTACGTCAGATGAACCGACGTTGGGAGGCCATGTGTGCTCATGCAACAACGCTACAGCAGGAACTACAGGTGGCACTGATGCAGTGTCAGGAATTCCACCACACCATACATGACCTGTTGCTGTGGCTGGAAAAAATTGAGACCAAACTACAACAAAATGAGCCCATCAACCTTGGTGCTGATCGCAGCGCTCTCTGGTCAAAACTGAAGAAACTCCAGGTATTTAATCCATTGACACACTGATATGGACACTCCCCATAGCTGGGATTTTAATGTTTCCCATACTGTTTAGAGAGAATGTTTTATCAAAAACTCCTTGTTCCTGTAAAGTTTACATTAATTTGATGATAAGATATATTTTTTCCGTAGCTGTTTTCTGATATGTAGGTAAGTCTAAAAGTCCACAAAATTTAACTTATTCCTCGTCAATGTATGTTTCCACTGAAATAAATACCATTTTCTTCTTTAAATACAAGAACTTGCTTCAGAAAGAAATCAAATAAGTGATAAAGTGGCTCCTATCTCTGAGCCAGAGAGATGTGCAATCTGCCAAGAACATACTCCATCATACAAAAGATGTAAATGCTGTTTTCAGGAGATCAAGTCCGAGTTGCAAGGCAACCAGCCTCGTGTGACTTCACTGAAAGACACAGCGGACCAGCTGTTGATGAACACTGACTCGACAGAGATGGTAAATGCCAAGGACAAAATGCACATCATTGCCAACCGTTTACGTGCTCTACTACGTCTGTGTTCTTCATACATCCTAAGTCTGGAGGACCGACTCGAGATCCGACCCCATTCCAAATCGGCATCGGTAAGTAACTGCCCCTTGTTACAAACCATGTGCCATTTTTTGGCTTTTAATGGGAGAATAATATGTTGGTATCAGAAGTGATAATGTCCACCTTGCAATGAACTGTAAGTCTTGTGCCTATGTATTCCTTCTGATTATACAAATATTTTAGCTGTTTGTACAATGAACACCATTATACAAACATGGATGTCTCCTACACAGTGATGGTTACTTTACTTACCTATCACAAAAAGTGCTTATGTGAATTCAATTTATTTACCCCTTAACCCTAAAAGGTATTAATTGTAAAATATTCAACACTGGTGTGTTTTTTTTAGCTGTAATTGTATATAGAAGACTGTTACACAAATAGAGACACTAAGTATTTTATATAGACACTGACTTTGGTGTCTGACTCTATATAACCTGATTTTTTGGTCTACAGCCCTCACACAGCCTCAATGTCAGTGGTGACAGTCCCTCCTCAGATTTAAGTACCAGCTCTGTTGGGTCACATTCTATTAGGACCAGTACGCCAAGATTCTCTCCAAGCTACCGACCTGCATCATTCCTCAGAAACAGGACACGCTCACCGTTAGCCCTTTCCCGACAGGTAAACTAATAACCTTGCTAAGCGGATCTTCATCACCTCACCTGAGTGGCGTGTCCATAGTTCACCAAATCACTTTTATATTTATAGCTAGTGCTGATGTAGACATGACATTGTTTTATGATATGTTATTTAGCTCTGCTATCCTACAGTAGTATACATTTACATAATAATATATTGACTTAGGTTCATCAGATATTTATATCTTTATAAGAGAGTGGCAATGATTTAGTTACAAAGTGTTTTCTTTTTAACGTTTCTATTGACCACCATTCAAGATTTTATTAATATCAATGAGAAATGTTGTAATATTTAACATATGACTTTTATTACTATGTAGGGAGGCAGTTTTTTTAAAGGAATATTTCCTTTACACTTTTCATGTGTTTCAAATATAAGCCCATGAGCATTGATTTTTTCAAAACAAGATGGACCGTATATTGTCAGATTGTGAGGTGTGAGAGTTGTCTCCCTTGGTTATGTTTTTTAATTACCTGTTTACCAGATTCAGCTGCTGGTGATATGGGGTTTGATAGGGTATGTACCCAGCCACACAGATGTGACCTTTGATCTCTGTCAACTCAGTGAACTTTCCAGTAGCATTTTGTCAAATGTCTATATGACAACTCATGATAGTTGCATTCTAATATACAAATCTCTGTTGTAAGACATCAGCAACACTGGTTTGTTTGGTGGTAAAGGCAGCACACACATCTCCTCAGTAAGTCTGTAAGCCTGCACAAGGGCTGTGTAGATTCCAATATCACCATCAGTTCTAACAGTAATTTCTCTAGTGCTGGTTGGAGGTTAACACCATCTTCTGACTGTAAGAAAACACACCCAATTTAAAAACTTCACACCTAAACGTTGGTAATAATGAGTTTAAGCCAAGTTTAATAACAGAATGCAGTGTTTTAGAGGTTACTGTTCTGATTCTGGGTCCTGACACTGACAGGGTACTTTTACACACTCCCTGATGTAAAAGCTGCTAATATTCCTTGTTTTCTCTTGTTAATTTGCTACACCTAAAGGTAAGCACCAGTCACACGTTTTTGTCTCACAGGATTAACCCTGACACCCGTACTCCACTCTCACCCCATCTCAGCACAACAATACACAGATATCCAGGTGTTTGTATATGTATCCTAATGTTGTACAGGTCGTAGAATAGTATAACATTTATGGTTAAAAAAAAAAAAATTGCTCCATGTTTTTTTCATCCGTTTATTTACGGATTCATATTTTCTCAACATTTACTCCTACTGTTGTGTGAAAAAATCCCCATCAATAGTCATCACCAAATGTGCTTTATGTTGTTTTAAAAGTTTTATTAATTTTGTCTGAAGCTTATTCCTAGAAATATTGTAAGCTTATCCTAGCTTATAGAGTGCGGAACAAAGTTTTAGGAAAGACAATTTGAGCATATCTCAGTTAATCAAATGTAATTAAGACATGCAAAGAAAAGTTGTTAAATACAATGTTTTATCAAGTATAAGATGTAAACTGTAGTACTTAGGCTGAGGGATGCATCGATACATTTATTTTTGGTTTTTGTTTTTGTTTTTTTTTGACAGGTTTTGCTATTTTAGTAATTTAGCAGCTTTCATTATGTCTTCTGATGATCCAAACTTTTTGTTGCTTTTGGAGGTGTTTCCTTAAACACTACCAGTGTTCCTGTCAAATCTAAAACCAGAACTGATCACAAAGTGGATGACAGGATCCATTACAGGGGAAAATAATTCATCCTGAAAAATGTCCATGTTTCCACAGTAGACTGGTCCAGTCCTTGTACCTCTTGTGGGAAATCAAAGATCATTTGTAAATATATAAATTACAATCCATAACAAGATGGCTCCTCTTCTAGTTTACCTTGACCAGTCAACTGTGAATTCAGACAGTTAATTCTTTGCCCCAAAAAGTCCACTGTTGTGTTGTTTTTACCTGTGATAAGACATGATTGGTTTTCATGTTAAAGATAAAAGCCTTTTGTTACATGTATCACATTAGAGCAAAATGTTCTGAATTTTCAACCACATCACTTAGTTTTAATACTGAATGGCAACTGCTGAAACGTTGAGGATGCTTTAGTGACAGGTAAGGTGAAATATTTTGGATGCTTTAGTGGCAGGTAAGGTGAAATATTGAGGATGCTTTAGTGACAGGTAAGGTGAAATATTTTGGATGCTTTAGTGACAGGTGAGGTGAAATATTTTGGATGCTTTAGTGACAGGTGAGGTGAAATATTGTGGATGCTTTAGTGACAGGTAAGGTGAAATATTGAGGATGCTTAAGTGACAGGTAAGGTGAAATATTGAGGATGCTTTAGTGACAGGTAAGGTGAAATATTGAGGATGCTTTAGTGACAGGTAAGGTGAAATATTGAGGATGCTTAAGTGACAGGTAAGGTGAAATATTGAGGATGCTTTAGTGACAGGTAAGGTGAAACATTGTGGATGCTTTAGTGACAGGTAAGGTGAAATATTGAGGATGCTTTAGTGACAGGTAAGGTGAAATATTGAGGATGCTTAAGTGACAGGTAAGGTGAAATATTGAGGATGCTTTAGTGACAGGTAAGGTGAAATATTGTGGATGCTTTAGTGACAGGTGAGGTGAAATATTGAGGATGCTTTAGTGACAGGTAAGGTGAAATATTGTGGAGCCTTGGTGACAGGTAAGGTGAAATGTTGTGAGTGCTCTTGTGACTGGTAAGGTGAAAAATTGTGGACGCCCTTGCGACAAATGAAGTTAAATGCTTTGCTCTGGTGCAAAAGCGTAGAAGTAAAATCTATTTTCTTTCTGCTGTGCTTCAGCTTTGAGAATAATCAATTAAAATGGCAAAGGTATCCAAAGGTTTTGACATGGGGCAAAGAATTGACGATACATTCAATGAACTATTGCTATTGACAGTATACATAGTGGTCAGTCGACAGTATGGTAGGATGTGTTGTGTGGTGCTGGCTAGTAGAGTAGGTGAGTGATACTATCTTTCCTTTGTTACTTCCTGCAGCTGTTTCACGGACTGGCGCGGCCATTGCTGGGAGCAGGGGCAGCTGCCCCACATTCGGACAAGTAATGTGGCTACTACTTCTAAACTGCAACTGGTTACTGTATATGCAGCCCCTGTACTACTTAGGTGGTGGCCCACAGTTATCTCCCTTGGCAGGGTCCTGCATCTTCTCCACAATGCCACAATGCTTGATGATCCTATATAATTTTGCCGTTTTGATTGCCAAATCAGCAATATGATTACTTGTCATTACTTACCTTGAATTCTTGCATTTAGCTGGCATGTCCTCCGTGCTGTGGAGGAGTCACAAACCAAAATGCACAAAATGCATCAATTTATGTTTGTTTGGGAATACATTAAGTGCTGTATTGTCACTGTGGAATAGAAGTTGTTACTGTAAGAATATTAATAAATATTATGTACATAATGTGTTTATCGTGTAATCAGGTGCATGCTACATTTGTTTAATTGAAATTTAAATGCATGACCAGAGTAATTGGATTTTATTGGCAGATGGTTATATTAAATTTCATTATGATGTGTCAAATCTGAAATAAGCCTAAATCGGTTTGGTCTACAGCTACTCTATTCCATCACATGAACACAGATACAATACACAAATGTGACTATATGCACACCTTAATCATCACTGGAATGATCCAGTGCAGCACATCCCTGCTAGAGCTTACATGCTATTGAAAAGCATCTGTAATATATTACAAAATACAGATCCGTGTATAACATTGTTAAACATTGTTTACCAATAGTTTCATTATATCTCAAATAATGGGTTGGGCAATATCATACCGCTGTTTCTTCTCTCCATGATAAACTTAAATATAATTAACTTCTGAAACGACGGATAACTGATACCATCAAAATTATATCAAAATGATTTTTCTTAAATTGAAGAAACAGCATGTAATGTAAAATGGTTCTATCTATTATCATAAATGTAAATTTTCAAATCTGGTTTGACTAATTTTGAAAATGTGTACTTTATAAAAAATGTAAAAACTACATATATATTTTGTATATCATGAAACCATATCACACAAAGTGCTGCAGTTACTAACAAGATAAATAAAAACATGTAAAGTCCCTACACAGTTGATGACACAGAGTGCTTTCCAAGTGTTCTCATTGTGGTTTATGTTGGTTAAAATGTACTTATATAACCTCTAGTATTCTTGATAATTACAATTCGTCAATGTGCTGTGTTTATTTTAGCCACTATATACCTGTGCTTTAAATTTTAGAAATTTAGTTGCATGGTTTTTTTTCTTTGCAGAGATTTGCTTGCAGATGTCATTTTGCACAGTTTTTGCATAACTTTTCAGTTTTGATGGTCTTGATCAATCTTTCCTATGACTTTTCTGCAACTGTCTTCTAATCAGGCAGATTTTCATTTCATTTTTAGGACGCATGTGATGTTGCGGGCCACCAATTAGCTTACCTAGCTCAAATGTAGGGAGTATCAAGCTTGTGTCAGATATAGCCTTCCCCACTGTTAGCAATTATCAGAATATGTCAGTCATTCAAGTGTTCCCATATCTATTAATGATTTTAGTTACAGATAACCAAACTCATTCTGTGGTGAAAGTCTGTGCCTGCATTGGATGTGTAAGGATGATATCTAGTACTCATCATGGTAGATCGAAGCAAAACAATTTTCAAAGTTTTTAATTCATATTTTTCTAAAATTGTAAAATCAATGCTTTCAGTAATGAACTCAACATGAGTCTATTTGTAGTCAGATCATAATGACGGTTATCATTTCGGACGGTCAAGTGATTAAAAAAATGTTTTATTTTCACTAGATTTAACAAAAATACCCTGTGCTGGTGAACAATGCAGGCATTTGTCCTTACACTGTTACAGCTGTTGTATCCGTATGTAGTACTCCCTGTCTTCATATAGTCTTACTAAAACCAGTAGATGTAGTATCGTTAGATGTCATGTGTTAGTAATTTGTAGATTATAAAACTTACAAAAGGAATAAAAATTATTGTCTGTAACTTCATTGGGAGAGGGAGGGGGAGATTTGGGGGAGGGGGGGGGGGGGGGGGGGGAGGGGGCAGGGCGCAAATATATGGATATGACAAGTCAGTGTTCAGAATGATATACAGTGGAACAAGGGATACCGATCCATTGTTATGTTTAAACATTGAATACAGGAAGTTTTCTCTAAACCTCTATCCCCTTTGTGTGTATTATATAGTTTTTTTTCTGTTTTTAGTCATAAACACACCTAAACAGACTAGCAAAGGAGGTCACAATCAGAATAAATTCGAGTATTCTACACCCAGATTGATACAAACTGACCGACCAAAAAGGTCACAATCAGAATAAATTTGAGTATTCTACACCCAGATTGATACAAACTGACCGACCAAAGGATGCTACCTTGTTACATTGTATCCAGCATAGGTCCTGATTTGTGAATTGTACGGGGTTTTTTTATCAAGCCAGTGTGTACTGACGAGTGTTGAACAAGGGTATATCATTGGAATGACATCACTAAACTGCACTAACCGCATGTATATAATGTATTGCATGTTGCCATGGAGAAAAGATACCAAACTCTCATCTGCTTAGTGACTTCATAGTCACATAATCACACCTTCATCAAATTAGTCTTCATCATATTTATCATCGAAACCATCAACATTCCATTTTGATAAAATAATTCATTTATAGCCACTGATATGGATTTGATTATGTAATATATTGAGACATTAGATCATTACTGTTTTCCTGTTTTAATGTGTTTTCTTCACCTAAATGATCATTTAATTTACTCTTTAACACATTTCATCATCATTTTCTGTTTTGAGAATTTCCTTCATCCTTCATCAGTTTATCACTTTGAATCAACCTTATTTTCTTCATTTTTGTTATTGTCTCAGTCATGGTAGATCACAAATAGATTTTTATCCTAAATTTTCATTCTTATGAATAGTTTCCTACTGCAAAGGACGGGTGGTTGATATCACAGTGTTATATATTGAAATATCCTGGTTTGTAGTATGAATATGTTTATCAACATTCTGCGAAATTCATTTTGAAACAAACCCCTTCCTTTGCAGTATGTACATATTAAAGTACTGATGTTAACTGATATTCACATGGGTTTATTTTGTTTCTTTTTCAGCTTAACAGGACAACATGATGAGGATCGTGTTCCTGCAGGACTGTTACGCAGGGTGTTATGGACGGCACTGCCATTACATCTGCTCTTCTTCTTGTTGCTAGGCGTAGCTATTCTGGTTCCCGTGACAGAAGATGATTATAGCTGTGATCTAGTGAATAATTTCAGGCGATCACTTGGACCGATGCTACGGTATATGGATGGTCCTCCACCCACGTGATAAGACTTTGTTACCGTTGTTAAATTATTACTATTTAAATGCAGTATTCAGAGACTGTTTTGTTGTTGTTGGAATGGTGTCCGAGACTCCATTGTGAAGCTGGTCACTTGTGACCTCTATTAATGTGATTGGACGGTCATTACTTACTGTCCCGAGTACTAATTACTTGCCATACGTTTACCAAACTAATCTCATGTCTCATCAACTACATACATTAAAGTATTTCAAATATGTGTAACATGCAGCCGCATATATAAATAGCTTCTATGCAGCTAGATGGATAGAATTGTACCAAGTTTAAAGTATTATGGTCAGTGTTAGATATATAGGAGTGACATGTCCCATTAATAGCTATTTATTATTGTCAGTGTTAGATATGTAGGAGTGACGTGTCCCATTAATAGCTATTTATTATTGTCAGTGTTAGATATGTAGGAGTGACGTGTCCAGTTTACTAGCTATTTATTATTGCATTATTATCGTCCATTTTTATTTACAAATTTTATGCAGTCTGCAGAAAAATATAGAAAAAAGTGAGAAGTTTCACCAAAGTGTAGTTTTGTGATGTCCTCAATTACCAGTATAGTCAGGTGTTCTCACTAGGTAGATTAGTCTTGTTCTCATGAGAGAGGGTATAATTCCGTCCTCATGACAGAGGTCAGTTCCATTCTCAGGAGAGAGAGTGGTTCCATTCTCTTTAGAGAGTGTTGTTCCATTTTCAGGAGAGAGAGAGTGGTTCCTTTCTCTTGAGAGAGTGTTGTTCCTTTCTCAGGAGAGAGAGAGTGTTGTTCCTTTCTCAGGAGAGAGAGTGTTGTCCTGTTCTTACGAGAGAATTGTTTAATACTCTTACCATTAACTGTTGGCAGTGACGAGTAAAACTCCCTATTTATGATTATTCTTGATAACTGTCTTTGATTAGGATGGCATATATCACAATATTTGTCTCTTTAATGTCCCCTGTCTCCGCCCAGTGATGTTTTACGGACTGCTGAAGCATGAAGCTGCGAGCACGACGGGATTCCCCGGTCTCTAGTGCTACTATTCCTTGTTCATTATGTGAGGTGAATCTGATAAGCATATGTACTCAGTCTGTAAGATGTGTACGTAATCCTGCCTATTGCTTTGTTAAAGGCAGCAATACCGACTGTGATAAACCTTTGACATTATTTCATGTAGTCAGTGTGTTGTAATTATTTAAACATGTGCTTTTTGCTTAATTTTATTTTTAGAATCATGTGAAAGGAAAGATCTGCCAGGATTTTTTAAACAAGTTTGGAAATTTTAACTCTGTTTTGTGTACCTATGTAAATTATATTCATTTTAAATAAGACATTTTATTTGTAACGATTTTTACCAGTTTTTTTTTTACTTACGATGATTTCCTTTAAATAACCTATATGTATGTGTTGTATTACCTATATTCCTACTGTATATAATGTTAGTCAGCTGGAACTATTGATATCTACAATATTATTTTAATCCTAAATGTATTTAGAATCATGCTGTGGCGTAGCTGTTCATAATCTTTCAGAAATATTTTGTTAAGAAAATGTAATATTAAATGTGATATAACAATGAATCCCATATTGTTTGTTGTTGATGTTGTTGCTGACAAGGGACATCATAATTACGATATTGTTTTTATTGTCTTGAAACAATATTCATGAAACATTAATGTACATGAGATGTTATATGGTTATATCTATTGTAAATAGACTAGGTCTTATCAAACCCTTCTGATAAACTAATTTCTTTGAAGTACTTCACACGTCAGATATATCAGAATATATAGAGTTTTGGACGGAAGAAATGTTCAAACATTTACGGTAGGAGGCACTTACCACAGAAATTCAAATGATGGAAGTCAAGTATAAGTGATACTATTTGCGTGAATTCATAAATGTCTTTCGGGACTTCTGTCAAGCACTGAACCCTGAAGTCCACCAGCAGAATGTACCCTGTATTCCCACTTAACCCACATTCTATTTTCACAGGTAAAAAATGTGGGCTAGAAGGAACTGGTGTGTGTTTAAGAACAATGGATTTTAATTGCCCTAAAAGTATAGTCTCTTTCATAAAAATCAGTATAGTTTACATGATATATGTATAAAAGGGTGAATTTCTGATATTATCTTATATACTAAACAAAAAAAGAAAGGTAACACTACTGTAGAATAGGCAAACATTAACGAATGCAGGCTATCGCAAGGTCTACAACACGGCAGTGAACGGAGCTGTGAAAACCCGTGTGCTCACTGACGCGACAAGCTGTAGACTGACCAACAAAGGTTAGTCGGTGGCCGAGTCGCCCAGGGCATTCTGATTTGACGAGACAACTCGCCCTAGCGAATTACTGCATACTACAGGCACACGACAAGGAGATCCACTTCCACCACACTCCCTTCCGTTTACTTTCTTGAAGAGGAACATATCCGTCGTTCCCTCATGGATCCCATCCGGCATCCAGGTGGTAGTCTTCCAGGTACTTAGGTTGTCTCCTCTGCCTACCTGGGGGCTTGATACCTGTTGAACTCTGGGCTTCTTCTTCCTGGAGGCAAGTTTTTGGGGACTGTTCTTGTTGAGAGAACTGCCCATCCTGAGAATACCCAACTGCGAGATTCTTCTCGGGATGAGATTGCCCGGCATTGGATGCGAGTTCGGGGTCAACAGTAAACAGATCAGAGATCTGCACGTTCTCACTTTCCGAGGAATGTGGCGGCTCATCTTCAACTTTGCTAAGGATTTGGTTCCTGCATCTCTTGAGCCACAGCGGAAACTCGCGATCCTCACACAGCTTGAGGCGGTCATGATGGATAACCTTCTCGGTTTTCCTGTCCTTGATGCGATAAAGGACGGGGGACAATACCTGTGAGATAACATATGGACCTCGCCAGGGACGCCTTAACTTCGGACTATGTCCAACTTTCTGCTGACTCTATCTTAAGCACGACATCCCCAACATTGAACCGATATTGGTTAAGACGCAGGTCATAGTCCTTCTTTTGACGAAGTTGGGACGCCTGCAAATTACTTCTGGCAATTCGATGGACCTCTTGGAACGTCTCCTCTAGTTGTCGGACATACTCGGAAGCCCCATCATACTTATGGACTCTGCCGGAAGTTCCGAGCATCAAATCGAGTGGCTGTGTAACTTCCCTTCCCAGCATCATCCGATTTGCAGTGAAGCCAGTCTGACGATGTTGAGTAGAGCGAATGGCCCCGGCAAGTTGTTGTAAGTATTGATCCCACGAATCCTGCTTGGCCTTGAGGAAACAATGTATACACTGTAGGACTCTGTTGTACCTTTCAATTTGGCCATTAGAAGAAGGATGGTAAGGGGTAGTACGTGTTTTTGTTATCTGTAACAGATCACATATAGCACGAACAACTGATCCATCCATGTTTTTACCCTGGTCTGTGTGGAGCTCCAAAGGGCATCCGAAACGGCTGATAAATCCGTCCACCATCATTTTTGCTACAGTCTCAGAATTTTGGTTGGGAATCGGAAAGCACTCAAGCCATTTGGTGAATTGATCAATTAACATCAAGACATACTTATTGCCCTGGTTAGAAATCGGTAGAGGACCAAGTATGTCCATGTGAAGTCGTTCTAGAGGCAACCCTGCATGGTATTGTCCGAGCTCCGCTTTGGCTTTACGGTTGGCTTTTTTGCTCAAGTTGCTCGTATTACAGGAAGCCACGTAGTCTTTACATGCCTTGGACAAACCGTACCAAATAGCAATTTTCCTGACCTTCTCCAGGGTTTTCACTTGTCCTAGATGTCCACTGCATGGCAAATCATGGGCTTTTTCCAAAACTTCCTGCTGCATCGTGCGGGGCACCATCACCAAACATCTTGGGCAGATTGGATCCTCCCAACGATAATGGAGCACTCCACTGTGCTGCTCAAGCTGGGATCTACACATCCACCAATGGCGAACAGCCGGACCCGCTAGCTGCAACTCGAATGGTGTTGGGTCATGCTCTGTCTCTATCCAGCTCATAAGTGTTTGTAGATCTTTGTCTTCTAGCTGGCGCTGCCTCAACTCCTCCTGGCTCAGAGCAATAGCCCAGTCACATTTCGGGAACGTTGCCTCAACTTTCCGAACCGCCAGTGGTACGACATAATCCACATCGTCTTCAAAAGTCTGCCATTGCTGTCGCGCCCTCGTGCAGTATTTGCACCCACCACAAGGCAAATTCTCCAGGGCTGTACTCTGTCGATAGTTCTTGCACTCACTAAGGAAATCTGGGACACCGGATAGGCCATCAGCATTTTGATGTTCTTTCCCCGGGCGGTGTTGTATGATCATGGCATAGGAAGAGAGTTCCTTGATCCACCTAGCTAACTGCCCTTCTACGTTCTTGAAATTGAGGAGCCATGTCAAGCTACTATGATCAGTTCTCACCACAAAAGGCTTGGCTAGCAGGTAATGGCGGAACTGCCTGGTGAAAACTACTATTGCAAGAAGCTCCTTTCTGGTAGTGCAGTACTTCCTTTGGCAGGGAGTGAGGACCTTGCGAAGCTGATAGTTTGTTCCCTACCGTTCTGTAGCTGGCTAAGTTCTGCCCCGATGGCCCTATCTGAAGCATCCGTGTCCAATCTGTATGTATCCTCAGGATTTGGAAAGGCCAGGGTAACCGCCTCTTGCATGGCCGATTTCAATGTTTCAAATGCCTCCTGCAGCTTTCTTCGCAAAGTCCTTTATGTGCTCCCGATGGTAATTGATAAATCTGAGGAAAGATTCCAATTCTCTCTTATTTGCCGGTAGTGGCCACGCTGCAATGACCTTTACACTGTCTGGATTCACAGAAACACCTTGCGCACTGACTACCTTCCCAAGAAAGACCACTTGTGTCTGGAACAAGTGACACTTCTTAGGTTTCAACTTTAAGTTGTAATGGCGGAACCGGGACAACACCTCAGCTAAACTTTTAAGGTGCACTTCAAAACTGACGCCAAGAACCATAACATCGTCCAAGTATGCCAGGCATTCCTTCCAAGTTAAACCACAAAGCACCAGCTGTATGACCCGACTAAAGGTGGCTGGACTGTTGCATAATCCGAAAGGAAGGCGAGGATGTTCGAAAAGGCCATACTTTGTGACAAACGCGGTTTTGTGTACATCCCTTTCGTCTACCTCGACCTGCCAATAACCTGCAGCCATGTCCAGTGTACTAAAGAATGAACTTCCAGCTAAAGCATCGATACAGGTATCGACAGTAGGTAGGGGGAATGCATCCTTAACCGTCACGTTGTTAAGTGCACGGTAGTCGATACAATATCGCAGGCCACCATCTTTCTTCCTCACCAACACAGGTGGTGAAGCCCACTCTGAGGACGATGGTCTGATCACCCCCTTTTCTAGCATTTGGAACAAATGTTGCTCTTCCTCCTTCTCAAAACCAACAGGTGTCCTCCGCATGCGCTGTCTAATTGGTTTTGCTCCGGCGGTGTCTATCCTGTGCTTTATGTCACCCCTGAACAGCCCTTGGTCCAAGTCACTTCGCGCAAATACATCCTGGAACTGTAATAAAAGCCTCGCCACCTGAACACATTGGGATGTATTAAGCTGGGAGCAAGATCTGGTCAGCAGGTCTTTGAGGTGATCTGGAAAGTTATCCTGTAATTCCTTCAGTTCAACACCCTCTCTTCCGTCCTCCACTAGTACTGGTTTAGTTATCTTTACACTGTAATGCCTGACCTCTTCATCCAATACTGCGATAACGTCTGAACCACTACCAAACGTCTGACCTCTTTTGAGAGACAAAAAATTATCTGTAGGGTTCAGCAAAACGATACTGTACTCCCTTTTCCGACCGTCTCCACTCTGCAAGGAAGCAGGCGTCAACAGGCCCTTTAGACTATTGCAGGGCTGGATAACAAAATCACAGTTTGGAGGTGCGTTGCTAGAGACTGCAGTAACCTTCATTGTGCGGGGAGGGATAGTTACTTTTCTACAGAGCGTAAAAACCGGTTGGCTCTTGCAAACTGTAGACCCTTCCATTTCTGCTCCAGTATCCTTGCTATCTAACAGCACTGAACAGGGAGATAGGTTTATTTTGGCACTATGTGCCTCTAAGAAGTCGATTCCCAGTATCATCTGGTCACTTATGTCAGCAGCAACTAGTGTCAACTTGAACACATTCCCATTAATGTCAACTGGTACATCGCGTATGAAACTTGCCCTAACCTTGGAGTTCTTCCCAATCCCAGTTAAGAAAACTTCCTCCTCAAGTTCAGTTCCAACATCCAGCTCTTTAAGTAATTTTGAGTTTATTACAGATATCTGAGCAGCAGTATCGACGACTGCTTTTAGGCAAGTGCCATTTACGACCACAGGAATGTAAAGGGTCCTAGCAGACGGAGCTTCGAGCGTATACATACGTACTTCTGTTAGTTTCTTCGGGAACGGTTGGCCAAAGTTATCTTGGTGGGCGGAGGATTGGCCTATTTCCTCTGCCCTTGGAAGTTTAAAGGTGAAGATGAACGCTGTTGGGGCGACGGTGACCTATTCCGTCTGACCGAGGTGGAAGCTGACTTGGTCGGGCAGTCCTTGAGGAAGTGGCCTTCTACTC